CGATGGTAGAAAGTGGCTGTGGGCATTCGAGAAGTAGAATTAAATCTATAATACATTATTAACTGGACCTTATAGAATACATCAATATTATATATGAATATAATAATATATTATTTATTGTATAACATATACGATACAACAAGGTATAATGAAAATATATAGAATAATTATATATATCATGATATTTGAATAATTGTGTATTCTAAGTATAATGCATCAGTTATAAATTATCTGCTAAATTTACAGTTTTTGTACTTGAATCAAATATGTTTTTAAACGATATTTAAAAGACGATATGAAATAGAACTGACAACGGAGAAGATAAATTGTTCCAGTATTAATTTATTTTAGATTTTATTTATTTAAATTTAGAATTATTGTAATGCCTATTTATGCAAAATATTATAGGTATCAAAAAATAAATTATCTAAGAAAGATTGTACATTGTCATTCCGCGAGTGTTCACAAGAGCTTTTGACGGGAACCGATGGAAAATCAGCTTCCAAAATAAAACAACTCACATTGCCTTAGATTTATTTCGTTAAAAAGCGTTGGCAAGCCAAAAACTCATTTGCACATTATTTTCGAGGGCTCGTTCAGTATTCAAAAAGCGTTGTTGGCCTGATTGAAAGTGTGGAGGCGCAAACGAGTCCGCCGTACAATAGGGATGAGAACTGGCGATGACGGGGGCCACGCGTTACATAAAGGATAAAGGAATTCATGAGAAATTTCGAGAAGTTGTGTATGTAAGAAATATTAACTAAAATAGACAAGTGTGGATGAGAATCGGTATAATGAAGGCTACACATTATATAAAAAAATAGATCAATTTCTGAGAAATTTCGAGAAGTTCGAGATATGAATCTATTAAAGATATTAACACAAAATCGATAAATTAGTCTAACTAGAAGGCCACTGTACAATGTGGACGAGAACTGGTGGTAACGAGGCCACATGTTACGTTAAGAATAAAACAATTACTGAGAAATTTCGAAAGGTTTGACTTCTGAATCCATGAATACTCACAACTCTAAACAGATGAGTTGACGTAATTGAAAGTATAGAGACGCAAACGTCCTTTCGTACAATAGGAATAAGAACTAGCGGTGACAGAAACCACACGTTATATAAAGAAATTCCTGAGAAATTTCGAGAAGTTTTATGTTAAAATTAAAAAAAAAATCTAAGTATAAATAATATCTAACGTCACACTTGCACGGGTTGTAGTTGGAAATACTTCGTTCGAAGTTGTCGAGTAAATACCTGGGACAACTTGTCACACTGAGTAAGTACTAACTAAATTTTAAGACATAGTTCAGGAAACTAACTATGCAACACCTTTTCATCCAAAATACCGCTAGAGATAGAGAGATAAATTAGTAATTTATATTAGCTTTAACAGACAAAATTGTAATACGTTTGGTTACATTATACTGGATATTTCGTTGGAATCTCATATTTTTTTAAATAACATATATGATAATGTAGCTTTTTATAAATGTAAGGATTTTGTAACGTCGGTTAAGTAAGTTTTCGAGTTTATCCATAACAAACAAACATACATACAAAAAAAAATTAAATCTTTTGTCATTATAATATTAATATAGAAAAATAGACGCAAACACAAAACGAGGCAGAATTAGCGACGCAATCCCATAACATTTAAGTATGTTAAATATGGTGTCTCTGTTGAACCGTAAAAAAAATAGACGAATTAAGCCTGTTTGAATCACGTAAAAAGTAAAAATAACGATTGTCTTCACGCCTTCACACATTCAATACGAAAATACTTCCTCTTGCAGTTGAAATCGGTTTTACGGTTCAACAAAGAAACAGGGTTGGTCATTACGTGGGTACATTTTTATCCGGACTCATCCAGTTTAATCCGGATAACTGACAACCGGTGAATACACAACTGAGAAAGGTGAAAATACATTTGTTTTACCTACCCTAACGATATGATACGACACGATATTAGATTTTATGTGTAGAGTATTAGAGGTGGTTTTGTTTTGGTATAACTGATAAATAGACTATGAAATGACGATTGTGACCCACAAAAAAAGCGACTTAAATTGTGTGTGTTTTTTTTTTTTTTCAAATAAAAAAATATCCAAATCGATTTAAAACTGAGTTGTGAAGTAACAAACATAAAAAAAGTCTGTCCATTGCTAAACATAGGCCTCCCTCTTGGGAGTTTTGCCAGTAGTTGCTACGTTTGGCTGGTAGATTGGCAACAGCATTTAAACTTTGGCAATATAAAATATTGCCAAAGGGGAACGCTACTGCCCACCGTTCGACACCCGCGGGAAGGGATAGGGTAATTGGATTGAATTTTAGTAAGAATATATACATATTTATATATTAACACTATTGCATGTATTACATCTTAGATGTACATATTTAAAAATAACAGTATTCTTATTGTGCCTCCGTTCAAAACTGTTTATGGCTACTCCTCTCCACCCAAAGGTTACGATAAGGCCGCCCATTGTTTAACATTTTTTTCATTTATTTATTTATTTCTTATTGTATTCCATAATATAATTTGTAGATAACAAACATTTCAATTATGGACCCTGTTGGGCACAGCAAGTAGGAGAGAGGAGGACAACACTTTTTTCACTTTAGAAATATTCTAAGGGTCTGTTACAATATTATCCAGTCATTGAAATTGTATCACGATCGCTACATATTTTCTTATTATTATTATTATTCATTATTTAAGTATTGGTGTGTATCTATTCATATCGTAATTGTTATTAGTATTATATAGTATTATATATTATTGTAATTGTCTATATCTTTCGTTTATACCACTGAGATGACAAACATACGGCCCACCTGATGGTAAGCAGTTACCGCAGCCTTTGAACGCCTGCAATACCAGGAGCATTACGCGCGTGTTGCTGACCCTGAAGTAACTACTATTACTACTGTAATCTTTTGGCGGAAACAATAAAGGTATCTATTTATTTATCTATTTGTATAATTTCTTAAAAATTAAATCAAATTCTAGAATAATATTATATACTTACTTACTTTATTTACTACTAAAAATAATAGGTAGTACTAATCCTCTGTAGTAAGGATGGATAATATACAGCAATATCTATATATTGTAGTTACAATATCTGTACATATATTGGCCCAATAAAACAGATATATTAAATATCAGTTATGTAATATATCTATATATATAAAAATTAATGCCACTTTTCATTGTAATTTTATAACTCGAGAACAGGCTTACCTATCCAAACCAAATTAAACATTTGATATGGATAGGTGAGCCTGTTCTTGAGTTTTATTCTTGTGCTTTATTGGGACTATTTAGTAGATAGTTTATATGAAGTTTGCACAAAATCGGTCGAGCGGTTCTTCATTTATCACATTTTTTGTAACAAATGAATTCAATAAATGGCGGATCATTTTTTAATGGAGATTTTTGGGTCAAATTAAAACTTTTTTCAAGATGGGGATTGTGCTGTCAATTTGAAAATTTATTCAGTGGTAACAGTACAAGCATGTTGTTATGTCATTCATGCGGTCATTTAAATTTTTTTTTATTCCACTTTATACGTAGCGAAGCACGTACAAGGCCGCTAGTAATATCTAAAATGAAGTACCTGTTGGCAATGACTGACTGATATTGTCGATATCGAACTGGGTAGTCATCAATATCTAGACGAACTCAATATATAGATATCGGATATTACCCATCCCTACTCTGTAGCAGTACTGCTTTGGAAACATAAATAAGCTTAATATATTATCTGTTAAGTTTTAAGGTAGCTAACTAATCGTAACCAACGCTTAAATCACTGCAAACCACACACTTAATTTTAGTTCAGTGTAGGGTTGGCAGGGTTGCCAGACGCGCATTTGATTTTTACCCAAATGTGAAATATTTTTTCTCCAAATCGCTACGATGTCCACAAAGTTGTATCGTTTTTCACTTCATTTTACCATGTTACCACAGTGTGACCAAACTAAAACCAAACAACCCTTCCTTCCATTTTTACTTTTACCTTATCTTATTCTCTCTTCTTCTCTTATCCCATTCTCTGTTTTGCTACCTTCATTCATATGTTTTATTGTATTTACATACCTCTATAATTTACAAATAGCAATTATCCAAATTTCTCCAAGCCCATTTTATATTTTTCCAAAAATTTCTCCAAGAATTTCACTACTCGAAAATTTCGCTAATAGATTTTTTTACAACACTGAGCACCTAGTACAATGAGCGAATTCAATATGTCTTTAGTGCACCATTCACCACGCGAACTAGGTCAAAGTTCCATTTAATTCCTAGTTCTTAACCTACTGCCGACATATGAAGTTTATACTCTGGATATGAAGTTTGTTCTTTATAAAGAATTGTTTTTTTTTTATACTACTTAGAATGGCAAGCTGACGGCCCACCTGATGGAAAGTGATAACCGTCGCCTATAGACATGAGCATACGGGATACGTTGGCGGAGCACCAGTGAAGAATGATAGATGAGGATGAAGCAGGTCAGTTAGTCCATCGTGACGAATTCAACAAGAATTGTTCACGATGGTTTCCAGAGGGAACCACGTAGAGGTCGACCTAATAGGACATATTGCTAGCAACGGGACTGTCAAACTCCATTGCTAACAATCCCTTTCCCCCCAACATTTTCATGTTAATCTTTATATTAACTACCAGAAGGAAACTTTGTACAAAAGTCGCTTACTTAGGCACCTCTGCTGCATTTGTGTTTCTACCATGAAGCAGTTATGTTTGCATGGCTGTGTTTCGGTTTGAAGAATGGGATATGGCAGTGAATTTACAGGGTACAGAGGAATAACACCTGAATCCTCAGGATTGGCAACGTATGAGGGATATCATGGGCGAAACAGTATACTCTGTTATGTCCATGGTACTGCTCATGTCTATAGGCAACCGTTACCACTTTCCATCAGATGGGCCGTCAGCTTGTTTGTCATTCTAAATTGCTAAAGAAAATGTATATTTTTTACAGAACTTTATTTACAATGTACTTTAAATTTACAATGTCTTTATCAAACAAACACATTAGTTTTAGATCTAACATTCAGTATTTGTGATTGGCACTGTAGTTTGACTTGTCTCCAGCGATAGATGTCACCGAACCCGCTACGTATCTACCTTGGGCTGCTAGTCCGTTTGCCTGAAAATACGTTAAATTGTTAACATTCGCCTCTTGTGTGTATTACTAAAGTATACGTGTTAAACTACTGTTAGTATTCATTAATAAGGTCACAAAAATATTTATATTTCTATATTTTTTTTTATGCAACTTATTATTTATCATTTACTTGTAGTATAACACGATAAATTAATTTTTTGTTACCTTTTGATGCCTTAGTATTTTTTTAATGGATGATAATGGAATGGTAATCCCGCCTGCATTATCGGCAAACGCTGGCAGAGCACCAGTAAAGGATGATAGGTGAGAGTAAAGACAGGTTATTCTTGTGGAATTCATGGTGGCCCATCGTGATAAATTCCACAAGAATTAAACGCGATAGTTTCCAGGGGGAACAGCGTGGAGATCAATTTAATAGGGTATGTTTGAAATGAGGCTGTTAGAATCTAGTACTAATGATCCCTTAACCCCCTCCCCCCTGCTCCGAAGTTGTTCAACTACTCATCAGAAAATGCATACACATAATATTTGAAATATAAAAAAGATACAATCTATTTTTATCCCGAACACGCGAAGAAAGTTGTGGATATAGTTAGTTGTTATATTGAACTTCCAAACTGAAAGTCTAGCATAGAATACAAAGTCTTATTGGCGACAAGGCTTGGAATATTTCACATGTCACAAGTGAAATTTCATATGCTACGCCAAATCATATATCACACCTGTTACATCGCTTCACAAAGAGCTCTACAAATTACAGTAAATGAAATCGCAGATAGAATAAGTCATTGAGTTCAGATATATGCGTAAGCATAGACAGCCGACTGAACCGCATCATCGTCATTGTATCTTTTTGGGGTTCGACTAAGCTGTATAGAGTGAGCGAATAGAGAGTTTATCACACTGTATTAAAGTATCTATTTGCTCGCTTTTATCTTAAAAATCATAATTCATATTTCACTAGTAAAGAGTGCGATAGTAAATCACTGCTAGCGAAAATCACTTTTTGTGATTTTTCTCTTCTAATATCACAATGAATAAAAATAATTTTGCTAAATGATAATGAATTAAATGTAGCAATCATTCCATGTCTAATACCAACAAAGGCAAGATACATCAGAGTGGGAAGTAATATCAACTATATAAAACTGGAAAATTTAATATCGAGTCTTCACTTGATACAATTTAATCAATCTAGACAATTTTACAATATTCAACAATGTTGACGATATATATACTTTATAAATTTTATTTTATTATTATGGTTAAAAATAAATACATGATTTGATTGAAACGTGCTTAATTTTCAGTGTCGCTGTGCATCTCGGCTATTTTTTTTATTTTCGTCTTTTTCGTATATAGTTCTTTGTCAGACCTTATTTATTTTGACGTTTCTTTTAATTTTTTCAGCAAGAGAGTACTCCTAATCTTACCGACATTAGGAGTACTAATAAAATAAATAAAATGAGGAACCCAATGTTTCTATTTGGCTTTCACATCCATCTCCATTTATATACCTACCAATCTGAATACGGCACAAGGCACTTTTGGGCTCGTAATATTAATTAGTAATCCTTCTTAATCAATGACTCTCAACTGGTTGTCTATGGTACACTCATGGTTCCTAAAAGCACCCGAAGATTTTCACGAAGACATCCGAAATAGATTAAAAAAGTGATATCGAATCGACACAACGATGCGCGACACAAGTTGAATAATAAATGTATTGTTTATAGTTTATTTATAGAATAGATAAAAGATTTTTTTTTTTTTGGATCTAAACAGTTGGTGCTCCATAGTAAGGCATAAATTATTGTTAAATGGTCCTTCATCATTAAAAGGACTTCCAGATGGGCCGTTGATATTAAGATGACATTGTAAACGGTAGTCAATACGAGAGAACATTAATAGAAGCCTGTATCTACTAGGATATCAGAAAATAGATACAGATTGAAATAATGTAGATCACCTTTGTCCTTTTCAACAGTTCCGCCTGAGCTTTCCTCACGTTCTCGTCCTTGCCTGCCCAAATCTTCCACACAGAAGCCTGCAGAGCCCTCCCATAGCTAAAGGTGAGTGCCCAAGGTTTCTTCAGAGGAACAGTGTTAATAGCGTTCAGATTAAGTGTCGCTTCCTCTTCGGATTGTCCACCAGAAAGGAATGTGATACCTTGAAAAAATTACATACTATCGTACTAATTCTGCTGTTAGTATAAATGCGGAAAGTGATAATGCATCAATGTATGTTTGTTACTCTTTGACACAAAAACTAATAAATGGATTTTAATAAAATTTAATACTCGAATAGGCTATACCATATCTTAACAGATAGAATATTTTGTATATCGATTCTGCAGAAAAAGCCGCGAGATACAGCGAATAATATAAATAAAAATATTCATAAATATGTTTATATATTTATTTTACAAATACGCTGAAACGCCTGAACGAACATAAATGAAATTTGTAACCCGGAAAGATTATATCCTATCTTAACATATAAAATACTTTATTTAGTGATTCACGCAGGTAAAGCCATGGGAAATAGCAAATTTATGAACATTTTTGAATACTAGCCCTGTATTTCGTCTTAAAATAGTTAGATTCCTTCCGCTGTGTAATTATATGTGACTCTATGAAAGAAGGTATGATAAAAAAAATAATAGAAATGATGTGAGTATAAAGACTTCTCTTTACCCGGTACAGCAGCCGGGACACCACGCAATAACGCCGTAACTGTTCTAATAGCTATTTCTTCTGGTGTGCTTTTCCTTGGATAACCTTGACCTGGTGTCACCTGAAAAATGAATTATCGATAACATCGTAACGGCCTATAAACGACCTATTTTCGGAACTGGATAGATGTTTTCCTGTACAGGAGAAATAATCAGTAGCATTCTTTTATTTCTGCCAATGGAACTAACTTAGAAAAGAAAAATAGTGGAAGTAAATTATAAAAATTTATTCAATTAATTTCAGGTACTAAAATTAAGTGCAAAATATCCAGTTTATGTACGCTGAATAACTTTCGCTGTACTATAACAGTTTTTAACAGGAGTGGGTATATCTATTTTAATTACGATATGTATACACTGGTCCAATAACAAACATGTAATAAGTCTGTTTTTAAAAAAAAAACATTGAAGTCTAGTAACTTAAGATATTCGAAATTAGTTATTCGAGCGATATAAGCACAATCGAAATAGGTGATGACCTTTTTACCGCCATTAAGGTCTTTTTTTTTATACAACTTAGAATGACAAACAAGCTGACGGCCCACCTGATGGAAAGTGGTAACCGTCGCCTATAGACATAAACAGTACCATGGACATAACAGTATACTGTTTCGTACCCCCATACGTAGCCATTCCTGAGGACTCAGGTGTTATTCCTCTGTACCCAGAGGAACCCAATATATAGATATCGGATCCGTTTCCATATTACCCATGTCTAGTTTTTGGTGACGCTTACATATTCAGAAGACAGCGAGTGTTAAGAAATAAAATAAAACTTTTAAGATAATTATATCAACATAGAAAAAAGAAAAAACAACGTTAACAAGACAAACTTATTTAAACTGTTTGTTACATTCTCACGGTTCAATGAAACAAATACTGGTTATATTGATATTTAAGATTGTGGTTCATAAATAAACCGGCTTTAATTGTGACAAAACCGGTTATTTTGTTTTTAAAACTAAATTACTGAATCGATTTTGAAAAAAATTTCTATAGGACCAATCTGTAAGTATATTCTTTTAGGTAAAAAAAAATTATCCATATCGATTTATAACTAACCGAGTTATGAGGTAATAATGAACATAAGAAAATAACCGATTTGAGAACCTTTTTCTTTCTAATCTGTAAGTATAATAGACTAAAAAGACGGATACTTACCATATTAGGTTTCAACAGTGTTCCCTCTAAAAATACATGGTGATCATTTAGTGCCTTGTAAAGTGTTGCCAACGCTACTTCTGTCACTTGTTGTGCTCTTACAATGTCATGATTGCCTGGTAATGAAAATAATATAGTTGAGAAAAAAATATGTTCATTTCAAAGAACAAAACAGTATTATCATTACCTACTTGTACAACAATTAGTCCATTACCTTAAGGTTGTCTTGAAAAGATTGCTTTCAGCAATAAGACCGCCTTACTGTACGAGTACTTATACAATTGTATCGTTGTGTTTGTAAATTGCCTTGCGTATTTCCTATATTGTATAATGCAAATAAAGTATACTCATTCATTTATTCAAAACTAATGAAGAAGGTTAGATATTTTTATTTTTGACGTACAAGCGGTTTATCTATTAAAAAAAAAACACCTATATACGTTCAGGCAAAATTCCTTACAATATTATCCATATATCATAGAATAGATGATCTCTATTTGACCTATAGATTTATTTCGATCTCATTAAATTTAATTCTCTCATAGTAATAATACCTTTTAAATATGTAATTAATATTGAAAAAATAACCTCAGAACTGAATAAACTATATAATATAAACTAACTCAGTACTATATACAGTTATCAAATATTGAGTAGATACCTGACACGACGATCAATAATAATGCCATGAATAATATATGGGGGAAGAACAGCTACGTACATTTTAATAAAGTAAAAGTTAATTTAAATATCATAATGTAAATTTTTTTCTAATAACTGCTAACGATATGTAACGTACTAAACATTGATTCAAACAAATAAATTTTGCAATCAAAAAAGTTTCTTTTATCGTGAAGTCACTCCGATATAGGTATATATAGATATCCGATATATAGGTAGATACTCTTTATTGTTTCCTCTAAAATAGTAGTTAACATAGAAACAATTACAAGAAATGATCATATTGAGAAAACAATGGGCGGTTTTATCGCTAAAAGCGATCTCTTCCAGGCAGCCTTAGATGAAGAGGAATAACTATAAACAGTTTAATAGAAGGCATCAATACAATAAACGATTAGATGTTTCAACGATACATTACATTAAAAATAAATTTTGCTTCGATTAGAAAAAAAATCAGGCAAGCAGCTCTAGTTACCATAAAATTAATATGAGATTAACATGGGAGTTAAACCCTGTGGATATCAAAAAGAATTCTAAAATAAAATTCAGAATAAGATCCATGTAAACATTTTCATATTCTTTAATATTCACTTTTGTGAATATTAAAGAATGGGACGCATTGATAAAGAGGATAAAAAAAATGGTAATCCTTTTTATTAATGCATGCCCAGAATTTGCATGCCGTCCTTTTTTATATCTTTCCAAAAAAATTCAGCAGATGAATTTCGAACGAGATAGTTTTTTTCTTTTCTTTTTATAAAACTTAGAATGGCAAATAAACTGACGGCCCATGTAAAATACATATATATATATACATGAACAACACCATGAAATCACAGAATACTCTGTGATACCCAGGGTACCGCTCATACTTTACTATTCATTAGAACTTTAGTTAGTGAGTTACACCTCTGTACTCTGTAATTTCACTGCCATTCTGTATTCATTGTGAAGTGTGGATTACACTTTACAATGAATACAGGTGGCTCAGGACCGCTCTTTATGGCAAACTGTGAAAGGCCTATGTTCAGTAGCTGACATATAATGGCTGAGATGATGATGATGATGATGATGAAGATTCCACACTTCAAACTGGAACTCAGCTATACTAGTACAGCTGCTTTACTGTTATAGTTCAATTAGGTTTTAAAAAAATGTTCCAAAATACAGAATTACCATCCAGCAGGACATCAGGTTCCACAATTGGAACTAAACCTTCGCTCTGACAGATAGAAGCATATCTTGCCAGCACTTGAGCCATATCTTGAACAGCTTGGACCGATGGTGTTCTTTCCCCGATCTTCAACGGACACCGCCATTTTGCAAATCTACAACCCTGTCTTCTGTATTCAGCACACCGTTTTCCCAAATCGTCGAGACCTAAAAATAAATATTTTAATACGAAACTGTTACTTGTCGTTTACTAATTTGTTATAAAATAGTTCTTATTTGTGGAAATATATTTTGTGTTCTACGAAAAACTGTTTTTCACAGTAATTTATGATTGTGTTTCACAAAGAAAAAACTTACTTCAATTTTGGTAAAACCAGTTATTTTGATTTTAAGACTAAACTATTAAACCGATTTTGATAAAATTTCTATGTGATCATTCTATGAGTATAAGTATATCCTTTCATATAAAAATATTCAAATCGATTTATAACTGATAGAGTTATGAGGTAACAGACACTAAAAAAAATAAAATAGAAATGCAACCAAATGAGAACCTCCTTTTTTTGAAGTCAGTTGATGATTTAAAAAAGTATCATTATTCATCGCACAAAGACGCCAACTTTCTGTCTCTAATTCTGCTCGTATCCTGGTGCCAGTATGGAGTCCCTATTTGTGGGCTTCGAGGAGGGTGGAACATCGAGTAGATGATGTTTTTATGTTTCTCAAAATGGTCATGGAAAGTAGTAACCCTCGCTTATACACATAAACATCACCATGGACATTATAGAATTAAATACACACTGATGCCCATGATACCATCGTTGCGTGCGTTGCCATTCCTGAGGACTACAATGTTATGGTTTCATATCTCATGATCACTGTCCTGCGAGCGAAACGAAATACAGATTTCTTCCATTTCCATAGCTATTTGACAATAAAAACACTAGCGGGACAGAGATATCCTTTGAGACAGAGTAAGCGACTTTTTTATGGCATCTCTGCTTTACCTACTCTATAAAGAACTTACCACGAAAATAAATAAATTTATTTAAATATATAAGTACCAGAAAATAGAACTAATACTACTACTAATACAAAAAATAGACTATAAATAAATGAGAGTACATATACAAAAATTGTCAATACCTTGAGTGGTAACCTCGTCTTCGGACAAAAATAGCGGTACAACATCTCTGTCCAATTTTATTCCCGGTATGATATTTTTCTTTCTCAGCACTTCTATGAATGATTGTCCGTTATCAGTCTTCTGATATACCGTCTCATCGAACAGTATGACGGCAGAAACGTTTTCTGAAAGTGCCTGTAATATACACTTATTTAATTACAAAACTAGGTTTAATACCTAATTTTAACTAGGAATAGATTATTAAGATAAATATTTTACTATCCCTCTGGGATTTAAGCCGTTATGGTATTTTGTTTGTGTATTGATTCTATTTAATAATAAATTAAAATGGACATGATTAATATCAATGAAAATTATTTTAATTTTAAATGTAAATATGTAGTATACAATAAGGTAATAAATCTATTGTTACTCTAAGTCAAAAGACCCTGTACTAAGATTGTACTCATTTGACAGTTTAAGACTTGAAGAAGAATAATTGCTCCGTAAACTATGCTGCTTGAATCGAACTTATATCTATTATTTGCAAAGAAAACAATTAAAATAAATTTAGAATTGTCGAAAATATCTCGTAATATTACCTTAAAAATACAAATGTATTAGAAATCCCCTACATTTAAAAATCACTTAAATATTCAAATTTACATCCAACTCTGTCATAACATAGTAATTAAATTGGCCGAGAACCATTTATTTTAAAATATACTTCATGTCAATTTAACTTTTCGACTAACTCTCTTATGGATGGTAAACATGTTGTAAATGTTTAAAAACATAAAGAAAACTTGGATTTCTCGAATGGAGTTTTCATATTCAATCATATGAAATGAAATTATTTCTAATATTTGCAATAATCCAAGTTTTGTTGAGATTGTCATAGAAACATTTTTAAATGAATATATTAACGAATCAAAATATTCAATTAAGATAAATTGCATTCATGATAAAAAATTTAATAAATGAATAATAATGAATATTATTCATTTACGAAATTTTTTACCTTAAGTATGTAATATTTAAGGTCTTGCTATCAATATTTATAGTACTTAGATGTAATTTTTTTAATGAATGTTAATGGTACGGTAACCCCGTCTGCGCTATCGGTATACATTGGCGGGGCACCAGTGATAGATGACAGATGAGGATGAAAGCAGATCAATTAGCCCATCCTGATGAATTCAACAAGTATGAAACACGATGGTTTTTAGGGGGAACCACGTGGAGGTCGACCTGATAGGGTGTATTGCTAGTATTGGGGCTATTTGGCCCTATTACTAACAATCCCTTTCCCTCTAGTACTTAGATGTAAGGTGTGTATATAATAGATAGATAATAATAAAAGTTCTTGTAACGTTCAATTAATTAATCAATTTTTTTTTTATACAACTTAGAATGGCAAACAAGCTGACGGCCCACCTGATGGAAAGTGGTAACCGTCGCCTATAGACATGAGCAGTACCATGGACATAACAGAGTATACTGTTTCGCCCATGATACTCCCCATACGTTGCCATTCCTGAGGACTCAGGTGTTATTCCTCGGTACCCTGTAAATTCACGCCACATCCCACCCTTCAAATCGAAACACAGCCATGCAAACACAACTGCTTCACGGTAGAAACATGAACGGGACAGAGGTACCCAAGCAATCGACTTTTGTACAAAGTCTCCCTCTGGTACTTTTGTACTAACTACTATAAGACTGATGACTATGAGCAAATTTTGTTACGGCCGGATCGATTATTCGTTTGTTTACGTTTTCATTAAATTCTATTACAACAAACCATATATAACTTCAGGAGAAAATAATCAATCAATATTAATATTTAATGTTTGTTTTGCCGGAGTTTAACCTAGAAAATATTAGAATATAACAACAGCCGTATTTTTATTTAGATAACGTCTAATATTGTTGAAACCACTTGGTTATATCCAGAATAACATCTAGTTTAAGGCATCCCTCATATTTTCTGGCTTCTTTAATATTTAACAAAAAAGGACTAGTCCCCAACGGGACCATTTGCTCGGGATATTCGCTGGGCTCTGAAGGAACTTTTTTATTTGCCAACAAAAAGGTATTTTGGGGATATCTGCAGTAACAGGGTCACTTCGAGCGACTATAAACATTGTTCAAGGTACTTGCTTATCTTATATGTAGTTTTTTTTATAGATATTTAGAGAAATTTTGTTAGGTTATATTATACTTATATTAGATTTTTCGATTATATAGATAGTGTACAAATGTTTTATCTTAATTTTTCCAAATTTTTTTTTTATTTTTAAATTATTATATTTTTTTTTAATGGTTATACAGGTATTATTCTCAAATAATGTGTTTTTCTGATAAAATGTTTTATTAACTTCTGAGCATTATTATTGACAATGTTGCTGTAGTTTTCAATAGTATTTGTTTGTTTAATTTTGTTTATATTTGTTTTAATTTTGTTTAATTTAATATTGTCTAATTTTGTGTTTCGTTTACTTGTGTTTTATTTTGTGCAAATTCTAGTGGCTACCAAATTACTATTTGAGTATATAATTATGTATTGTTTTAACTGTTTGTTTGCCTTGAATAAATAAATAAAACAAGTTAACGTCTTTATCCATGTGTGCGTAAATAGGGTTACCATAATGTATATTTATTACTCAGTATATGGGAGAGGTTTGTATTTTGAGATTAAAATTAAAAATAATACAAAAATATTCGAAAGCACGAGATAAACAGTTCACAATGATTCGAAATGAAGTTTATCTATTCTGATTATTTTGATTTCTGTTTTGCCATAGATTGACTGTTTGAGAATGCTAAAGACTTTGTTTGTTTTTTGCTTCTTAATAGTTTAATGTCTTAACTAATTTAGGATATAAAGACGGATATAGCCTATAGGCTACTTTGTATCCTGGACAATAAACATATTCCAATCATAAGACAAAGTCGCGAGTAAAAGCTAGTAAAAACTAGAACTCACATCGTCCGCTGTAAAAAGCAATTGCCTGTATCTCCTTCTATTGTTCTCTGTGTTCTGCAAACCCACTGCTGCCAACAGTTTTCCAATACCCTCTGGAAAATAAGAATAAAATGTATTTTACTCTATGTACAGCAGTAATGCTATAAAAATCAATATATATCAAACTATCAATTAAATGAAATTATATGCCTATTGTATCATTAAAGTATAGCCTAGTTCAATATGACCAATCAATCATAAATATGAGTCAGCATTTAGAAAATCGTAAAGGTAGGTACTCTATAATTTTATTCAAGCTATTATATTAACCTTCGTTTATATTTCTAGACTATACCAGAATTTAGGAAAGCAGCAGTGTAACTATAAAACCACAAATAAAACACTGGATTCTCGTATATAACTAAGAAGAACTAGACACTCTTAACACCAGAGGGCGTTCTAAGCGATAAGCGTACACGAGAACTAGTAATATAAAAGGCTCATGATCTTATGCAAAAACATGGTGCGTTACATATTAATTTCCATTGTATTTCTTTTGTATTTTTTTTTTGTTAACAAATAAGAGACTGACACTAACATCAGACGTTACAGAGTTGATTACTTTCTATCTATCTTCACGCCAAATTCCTTGCAGGGTAGGCAGAAAGAACCGAGTGTAATAGACCTCTATCCATACATACATCACTTGCTGTCCGCACTTTCATAACTACTCCATTGACGTCTGTTTTACATAAATAATGTGTGCCGCAAAGCAGCTAGCTTGCAAACTGACTGCTGCTTTGAAAGGTAACAAGTGGCTGTAAAATTGCTCGGTACTGTGATTCAACAACTTTTTAACAAAAGGTTTGACAACACGAAAGCGTAAGTAATCCCTATAGTAGTAAAATGTATGTAACATTGAAATTATCGTAGTTAAAGATCAAATTTCGCGAAAAATTCAATAAAAAATTTACATTTTATAATTTTAAATTAACATAAAGATTTTTTTATTTTTATGTATATATTCTGCTGTAAAATTATAATTAAATTTATATATATATATATATATATATATATATATATATATATATATATATATATATATATATATATATATATATATATATATATATATATATATATATATATATATATCTTCTATTATATTTATACATATAAAATTTTTTGTAGTAATGAACTTAAATATACAACAATTGATTAAAATAGAGCTTCTCGATTAGTTCAGGCGACCCATGTTACTCTTAATCGCCAAATAAAAACAAAAGATATAAACTACAAAATAATTTCTAACGTAAAGTTAGAACTATAAGATCACTCTATAATCTACGATAACCGTTTACCATCAAGCGGGCCGTATACTTAAACTAATCCTCATTAGTTAGTTATATATGCAAAAAAGTAGTAATTCCTTCATAGCCCACCATTTGTTTCATCAACAGCAAGAATACCCTTTCCGGGTGCTACTATAGCCTCGGCGGTCCTCTTCAACTCCTCCTGGAGCCTAGGATCGGGGTACGAGAAGGTAGTCGACATTGCGATGTGCTGAAATTAAACAAAATAACATACTATCAGTCTAATTATATGTATCAAGAGACGTTATCACTCTGTCAAGGTTTAGTTCAGGGTTTATGTAAATAAGAATTATTAAAAAAAAAACTATTACTTATTATTACCTAATATATTTTTGTTGGTGCTGGCGAAGGATGGAGAAAATTAGCTGGAGGGATCGAATTAGCAATGAGGAGGTCCTGCTTAGGGTTAAGGAAAAATGACAAATTTTTAGAACTATTGAGGACAGAAGGGGAAAAATGTTAGGACACTTGATACGACACGACGAACTTATGAACATTATAATAGAAGGTAAGATAGAAGGAAGAAGGGGGAGAGGGAGACCGAGACATAGTTACATCAGGCAGATCAAGGAAGGAGTTGGTGTCGTGTCGTATCAAGAGGTGAAGAGACTCGCTGAAAATCGTAGTGAGTGGCAAGAGCTCCACCGACAAGAGCGCAGCTCTTAAATGGATAGACAGATAGATATTTTTGTTGTAATATATTATTGTTATATGTTTTAGGCATGGGTAATATGGATACCGATCCGATATCTATATATTGAGTTCCTATGGAATTTGATGGCGGAAAAACGTCGTCACCTATTTTTTTTTTGCTGGGTGAAAATAGTATGGTAACCCCGCCTGCGCTAACGGGATACGCTGGCGGAGCACCAGTGAAGGGTGATAGATGAGAATGAAAACAGGCCAGTTAGCCCATCATGTTGAATTCATCAGGAATTAACCATGACAGTTTCCAGGAAGAACCGCGAGGAGGCCGACCTGGTTGGGTATATTGCTAGCAATAGGATTCACAGTCTCCATTACTAACAATCCCTTTCCCCCCAGTCGTCACCTAATTCAAATTTGCCCATATCGGTCTGATATCTATTTTCAAATATGTTACCTAAAAGTCTGTTATCCAATATTATTTTTTGGATAACAGACGTTTAACATATTCGTTATTGGACCAGTATATAGATATTTTAAGTAAGAGGGAGACTTTGTACAAAAGTCGATTGCTTGGGCACCTCTGTCCCATTCGTGTTTCTACCGTGAAGTAGTTGTGTTTGCATGGCTGTGTTTCGGTTTGAAGGGTGGGATATGGCGTGAATTTACTGGCTACAGAGGAATAACACCTGAGTCCTCAGGAATGGCAACGCATGATACCCCCTATCATGGGCTAAACAGTATACTCTGTTGTCTATGTCCATGATACTGCTCATGTCTATAGGCGACGATTACCACTTTCCATCAGGTGGGCCGTCAGCTTGTTTGCCATTACTAAGTTTTATAAAAAAAAAATAGATTTTAACTCGACGTATAACGTGAGTGAATATTATCTACCTAGTTTATTATAACCACTATTTAGAAATAACTGAAATTCCTTTTACCTAGTGACAGAATTTTAGTAAAACTCTCTTGTTTTAAATACTTGAAGAATGTGCTTTAAATATTTAGGTTTAAATCTGTAAGCTGATGTTTATTTATCATAATATATAAAAATTTCGTATCACGTTGTTCGTTCCTGCTAATATTATATCTGAAACTAAAATCTGAAATCGTTTAGTTTAGCTTTTAGTTGTAGGTAAGTATTTATTCCAACTTGAGAAAAAAGACAGTCAATTTTATCCCGATAAGAAAAACTATTGAACAGATTTTTATATCATTTCTATGGGACCATACTGTAAATATATCCTTTCAGATAAAAAAAAAAGATTTTCAAAATCGGTTTACAACTGACAAAGTTATGAGGGTAATAAATATTGTAATGTAATAGTGTAATCTCGTCCTTTGATTATTTGGTTAAAATGAGCTTTTTGTTTTATTTTTCGTATTCTAATTTTTGGCCTGTTCTTCTTATGTCCTTGGCCCTAATCCGAAATACGTAATTAAAAAAATATATTGATATAGTGTTGTACTTACCGAGATTTCGTACTGCACCGGTTACTGGAATTGATGGTACTGAATAAAAAACAGAATCGACTTACGTTATCAGTTATCTGTCACGATACGTGCGGTTTCATGATGGCGGATTAATTTTAACAACTTGTTATTATGTCTGTAAAAACACACTAATTATTTGCACCATAATGATATTATTATAAATATAAGTATTATGTAAAATAAATAATTGGGTTAATTCTAAGGCGCTATTTCTATATAACTAAAATTTCATTTTTTTAATCGCATCGTTATGAAATCTTTGTTGTAAGACGCAATTTAAGTAAAAAATATTACAATATTTGTTCATAACACAATAATGTCCTTAAAACAGGAATTTCACAAAATTATAATATCAGGTTAAAAGATAGATGTAAAGAAGTATCTGATGTCTCAGAATTGACCCCATATGCACTTATGTATTTGTAAACTATAGTCTTGAGTGTCAATTCTTTCAAGTCATAATATTATTTATTATTTATTATTATTAAATAGTATTCACATTTAATAATATTTTATTTATTATATTAAATATTATTCATCCTTTTATGAAGCTTTTAACAACAAAACAATTTTAATAGTCGTACATTACTCAATTACCTTCTATTTATGCTTTATAATATAGCTGTAGTATGTATATCCGTCGTCTAATATCGACCAAACATTAAAAATGTCCCACAAAAAGAACCTATGTCAGATATAACAAAACCAGTTATTTTGAATTATGGAATCAATCTGTGACAATATCCTTTCAGATAAAGGAAGAATTTTTCTAAATTTGTTTTCAACTGATGGAATTATGAGATAACAAGCATAAAATATAAAATTATAACCGAATTGAGAAGCTCCTATTTTTGAAGCCGGTTGAATAGAGATTTTGTACAAAAGTCGTTTTCTGTTTTACTCGTGTTTTTGCTTATTTGTCATGCCATTGGAATCTTATCATTATGTTGCATAAAAATAATATATGAAAGTTAAATTAAAAATTATGTTTACATCTTACTAACACTTAATATTTTCCCGTCCAAAACTTTGTTGTATTGTGATCAGCCAGATGTTGCGATAATAGAGATATGATACTCGTATTCTTGAATATAAGCTCCCAAAATGGTTTCTATTCCAGAACACGTTTGTATAAAAACGTTTCCGATAAACGTGACCAGCTCAATGCTACTTCAATCTAGCAGATCCTACCGGCTATATCATAGACTTTTGTTCTTTGACGGATTAGATTTTTTCAAATCTGATCTCTCAAAGAAACTCTGACTATAGCCATCTCGTTGCAAAGCGAGCTAAGCTTTGCAACTTTCAGCGTATGAACTAATTTTGCCGTCAATGCCTACATCTGTACATCGTATAATATTTTCTTGTATAGGTACGACAAATTCATGTTTGTTCCTCTATATCATGAGACAGGATCCATAATTTTTGTCTTCTAAGTATCGCATATAAGCGTATAAGCGTGTGTCATAATTGAACAACACTTTTTTTTTGATGGGTGAAAATGGTATAGTAACCCCGCCTGCGTTAACGGGATACGCTGGCGGAGCACCATGGGTGATAGATGAGTATGAAAACAGGCCAGTTAGCCCATCATGATGAATTCATCAGGAATTAGCCATGATAGTTTCCAGGGAGAATCGCGGGGAGGTCGACCTGGTTGGGTATATTGCCAGCAATAGGATTCTCAGTCTCCATTTCTAACAATCCCTTTCCCCCCATTGAACAACACTTGGATTAGACCCACCACAACCCACATGTGAATCTAGGTAATACAGTTAGATATTAAAACTGTTACTTTAATTACCCGGAGTAGTAGTTATCACTCCTTAATTCATATTATAAAATCTTCATCCTAGATCTTTTATAAGGCAGGCGGTAAGAACATCAAATGCCTCTATTCTCGCCTGATGCTAACTTTATTGACCTTCATAAATCATCTTAGATAATATTCCAGTTGCAGAGATTGACTATTCCCTCAAAATTAAATTTAGCAGCTATATCCTGTTGGAATCAAATACCCGGAAATTGTTTTAATTATTTTTATTTATTTTACAAAAATGAGAAATACACAATGCACAGTATGAAAGTTGATGGAGGGAAAGGGCGGAAACAGATCGCCGTGTTGCAACGCTACATTAATCAGTGTTTCCATATATAAAATTTATATTGTTAGTTTATGATTTTACAATAAAAAATATTTACCACAGGGAGACTTTGTACAAAAGTCGATTGCTTGGGTACCTCTGTCCCATTCGTGTTTCAACCGTGAAGCTGTTGTGTTTGCATGGCTGTGTTTCGGTTTGAAGGGTGGGATATGGCGTGAATTTACTGGGTACAGAGGAATAACACCTGAGTCCTCAGTATCATGGGCGATACAGTATACTCTGTTATGCCCATGGTACTGCTCATGTCTATAGGCGACGGTTAACACTTTACATCAGGTGGGCCATCAGCTTGTTTGCCATTCTAAGTTGTATAAAAATAAAAATAAAAATTATGTTAAGAAATAATATTGGCTCTTAACATATCCTATTTCACCATTATAACGACATATGCTAACACAATTATCTTTACAAGTTCAAGGATAAGTGCTGATTTTGTCAATAAATTAAACACATCACATAATATAGAATATTATATACCATGAAATATAATTAACAGATAACCCCCGTAGTGGTATCACATGAGGTCATGAGTACCATGAAAAATAAGGATGGAAGATATGGTTAGTTTGTAAGATTACATTTTATTATGTATATATTATATTATTCGCCAACAACCCATTATCAGCACTTATATTTACTGTTTGTAGATACATATTAAGACGAGTGTGACGAACTGACGATGGTAATCACATATTTGTTATGTCATGAATATAATATTAAATTTGATAGTGTTATTGTTTCTGCTTTAGTTTACGAAATATGTTGTTATTTTTATAAAGTAGCATTTACCAAAGTTTCCATAAAAAAAAACTGCACAAATAGTACCTACTTTTTGGGGGGAAAGGTATTGTTAGTAATGGAGACTAAAGTTTTATGCATTGATATAAGATAATACACTCGGCTGTGCTAATGGCGAAGCACTAACAAAGGATGAATCGATGAAATAAGACACTTTAGTTGTCCCATGATGGTGAATTATCAGATCTCCTCTTCCTTTGTTTCCTTTCCCCAATCAGGGTTTTTATGGGATGGAAATGAATTAGTAACCTCTCCCTGTGCTATTAATATTCTGTAGCAAGTTACCAATGAGTGATAATAGGCGACGATAAAATCAGATCGTATTGCCTATCATGACATACTCACTAAGAATTAACTAAGATGTTTTTCAGAATGGCCTATATAGAGGTTGACCTAACAGAGTATATTGCTAGTAATGGGATCTACCATTATTAAGATTTTTTTCCTCTTAAAGTAGACTTATAGAAATGGTAAACTAGACTTTTTTTAATGGGTGATAATGGTATGGTAACCCCGTCTGCGCTATCAGTATACAATGGTGGGGCACCAGTGATAGGTGACTAATGAGGATGAAAGCAGGTCAGTTAGCCCATCCTGACAAGTTCTACTAGAATTAACCACGATGGTTTCCAGGGAGAACCATGCGTGGAGGTCGACTTGATAGGGTACATTATTAGTGATAGGGCTATTTGACCCCATTACTAACAATCCCTTTCCCCCCTGGTAAACAAGATTAGCCATGTAGTGCTTTTGGTTCTAAAGGATTCACATTGATTTCTTTTTATATTACCATCGATTAAATAAAATATTAAACAGTATTATAACAGTACAGTACTGATTGGTAAACAAAAAAAATATACAATTAAATTTACCGTCGCCAAAGGGTAATTGGTGTAAACTTAAAATCAAATTAATAAATCACATTTATTAATTTAATTTTTTTAGTGCCATCTATAAATTATTTAATGAGTGAATTATTATTTTTAAACATTGAAATTGTTGCTTTAATCTGTGCTAGATAGCAGAATATTAAGAAAATACTTTTATTCTTTTTCAACAGATGGCGCTTTCTGGAGCACATAGCTGCTTGCTATCATTAGACCTTCAAATGACCTTTCAGCCATGTCCTTACTTCGACTTACATCAATTTGACAGTATACCATCTGAGTAACAGTTCAACATTGTCAGTGTTTAAACTTCCTAGTAAAAATAATAGTAAGTACATTTATTTTTATACAAATTTCATACGAAATAAATACTAGATGTAGAAATCTTAATGTAAAATTAAGTATTTAAATTATTTTTTAAAATTTTATTTGTTTTAACCTGAGTTATTCTATATTCATTTTTACTTCATAATTTGTAATTTATTTTTTCTAAAAAAAGGTAAATTAATACGCACCTAATCAAAATTAATAACATTATTAGATTAATATTTCACCACAATATTTTAAGGTTACCCAGGTATTTTCTTTTTTTTTTAACATGATATTTATAAATAACGTTAATATTTTTATTAAGTTTAAGTTACATAGTAGCCAAGCCACAATTTATAATTTCTGCATACCTATTCTTATTATAATTTAGGTATATGTTATAAATACTTACTAATAAGTTATTAAAAAATAAATATGCTACATAACTACCCAACTTAGATCTACCCAATTATTCTGTATAATAACCCATATCAATAAATGCCTAAAAGATAATCAGATATCATAATTTTTTAATGAGTATAATATCTACGTAGATTAATTTCTTTATTTAAACCCTATTTAATTTATATTCGATCCAAATAGTTGTTACTTTCTTAGGTCAATGCCATTGTTTAACATCTTGTTTTCAATGACCTTTCAAGGTCACTTTCATATCTTGTAGAATAAAGGAATTAAGAATAGAGGTATTATCTGTAATCTATAAAATAGTTATATTATGGTTATTAATTTGATATGCATGTATTTTATTTTTATATGTCTTTACGCCAAATCCTTTATGGAGTACATAGAATTTACCAGAAATAGGTTTAAATTTGTCTATAAATTCATTATTCTTTGTAAAGTTGTAATAAATTATTGTGATTTTCTTTATTTACAATATTGACTTTTACAAAATTCATTGTAATAAGTGCACATTTAAATTCATTGTTACTTAATTGCTTAACGTTAATTTTTGTGATAATTAATAACAATTTGCATAAAATCACTATAACCCCTAGCTATCCTAGCCTAGCCTTTAGAAAAATACCCGTTATTTTGCACAACACTAACTGTCAATGTCAATTAATTGATTGTTCATTGATTTTTCAAATTATCTTTTTGAAGACTAGGCAGCATGGTCTCCGACCTTAGCCTGTTCCAAACGGAACAAACTTACTAAAAAAAAAAAAAAAAATGATTGTTCATTGACCCTCAGAATTCGAAGTTTAGAACTTAAATATTTTATTTATTTTTAAAAAACAAAGGAAGGAATAATTTTAAAGTATATCCGTGGTGATCTGGTGAGTTTATGTCATATTTGATAACTCTATTATATACAATGTCGAGTATAAGATTTTTCTTTTATAATTTTTAAGTGAAATTTATAAAAAAAAAAATAGTTTACGATGCCTCCAAAAGGCAAGAAAGGTAAAGGCAAAAAAGGCCTGCCCGAGTCCGGATGGATGCCAGGCTTCGGAACTAAGGGTAGGTTTTCGGATCTTTGGGGAAAGTAGATTGTACTGCAAACATGAGAAGAGTCACGTACGCATATTTTATCCTTATTGCAATGCTCAGAAAGTCTGAGTGTGACTAAATACGTAATTTTCTAATAATTTTATACATACAAATATTTTTAATGGATATAAATGAAATGGTGAGGAGTGTTTTTTTTAATGGACGATAATGAAATAGTAACCCCGTCCGCGCTAACGGTTTACACTGCCCCGCCAGTGAGTAGTGAATTAGTGAGGAATAATAATTGAGAATGAAAAAAGCAGTTAGCCCATCGTGATAAATGCACCTAGAATTCAGCATGATGGTTTCCAAGGGGGGCCATGTGAAGATCTACATGACAGAATACAATGGGACTGGTAGTCCACATTACTAATAATCCCTTCACCCCAGTACCTACATAACCATAGCCTGTATGGCATTATTTTCAGTCCTAAAAATTAATTTAAATTAAAAATAAATGTGTAGGCACAATTTTGTTTTAATGTATAAAATACTTATTATTATGATTATCAGTGACTGATTACATGATTATTCTATTTACTGTTCTGTGTTCAATTATCTAATTGAATTTCCTAAATGTCTGATAAAAATAATTTTGCAAATAGATCCTGTTAGTTATTACAAATTCATTATATATTTGAATCACTCTCTTATTTAATAGGTACCCAAATGTCTAAATTTATTGTAATGCATCTCTTTTCAGCTATATTCATTATATTAATTAAAAATAGCATAATATAGAAGTTAGAAACACTAGGCCACTCTATGTACATAACAGCTGTTTCATACTATATCTTAGTTATAGTTGTGACCATATTTAGTCACTTTTTTTATCATCACTCTTAAAACTGTGCAGGTATTAGCCATCGAAGGACAACATTAGTGTATTTTACAATATAGGTAATTTTTTTCTAAATATTTCGTTTGGTGGACTTCCTTCATTGTATCATCTACCATATAGGTGATCTGCCTCCACTCCTTTTTCTCAACGAGTTTGTCCATATATCAAAAATACTTGTAGTATTTGTTCTTAATACTATATCAAATAAGAGCTTGAATATTAAAATGATTTAGTTTGTTGATGATCGAAGCCATCATCTTTATTTAATATGTATATGTGTGGCAGATGATATTGGAGCTAATGTTGCCACCATGCTCCATTACAGTGCTGAAGCAGTCATTATCAGTTCTTACAGAACATGGTAGATAGTGAAGTATTTATTTTCAACTTGGCCACTTTGTACTAATTGAAGAAATATATAAATTGTTATATGGCCAATAGTTATTATTCCCATGATAGTTACAGGAAGTTGTTATTCAACTCATTCCTCCTAAACAAGGGCTTAGTTGATAAACCACAGACCCTGCACTTTTGGAGGCTCCTGGAGCCCCCATTAGTGTTTCTGGGTCTTCCACTAATGCAACTAGAGCCCTAACTAGTGATATTAGGCACCCCACTGGCATTTTTGCCTTCCTGAGGAATTAGTTTAAAAGATTTTGAACTTTTTGTCTTTAGCAGTTTTTTATCAGTTTATTATTTTTTTTTTTTATATATAAACTGAAGTTATAAGTTGGTATGGTTATAAACAAAATAATGCTCGACTACAGTAATGTAAATAGGAACACCTTTGTTAAGTAGGCTATTTAGATATTTATTAAAAAAAAAACATATCTAATTTGAATTTGTATAATTAATTACATAATAATGGGAATACTCATGTAGTTCCTACTAATAAAAAAATATATCTTTTTAGTACCAAAAGTAGAGATTTCCAATTCAACTAAAATGTTCATTATTCTCTCTAAGGGAACTAAATACCAGTAACTTTTTATTCTTACTTACACCTCTTAATTAATCTACACAATGAATGTTCAGTACTACATTTACCAACAGCTCATATCAACAGGCCTATTTTATGAACTAATAAAAACTGTTCCAGATCTTATTAATGTATTTCTTGTTTACTTATTGTCATTTATTACATTTATGTGTCCGTCATGATAATGTCAATTATTTTAAGATGTTTTAATTAGTTTTTATTAACTTGGCACTGAAGTTAGTACATTATTATATTGTCCCTGATGAAGTTATACAATTCACTTCTTATCTATTTATGTATCATTATAAATTTATATTTCTAATTTATTCTCTGTGTTCCTAATTAAAGACATTTTTTGTTCATTTAATGTCATATTTCTGTTAAATTTGTACTTATTAATTATAACTTAATTACGTCTTGTGTTCTACCACTACTACTAACTTAATTGTGTCTTGTGTATCAATCATCTAATTAGGATTAATTATTTTAATAACTTTTATTTATATAACTTTATATAATTTGATCAAATTATTTATTAAATTGTATTTGATAATTATAACTTAATTAGGTACTTACTGCTTAGTTACTATTTTATCAAATATCTAATTGGGAATTATAATTTTGTGACAATATTATTTTACTTTTTATTTTAATATTCCATCATTTTAAATATAAATTTATAACTTATTTATTTTAACCTTATTAAAGAATTACTTATATGTTACTATTTATTATTTATTTTATTAAAATTTAATACTCTTAGACAGTGTAAATGACTAGCTGAATACAACATTATACCATTATGTATTATAATAATTGAATATTTTATGAATATTTTTTTTATACATCATTATAATGTTAAAGACAGTAAGTTTATTAAAAAACGTAGGTAAGAATTATAATTTATTTATTATTTTATATATAATAAATAGAATGTATAATGTATAACATTGATAAATTGGATTAAATTTACCACATTGGTTTCCACTTGAGCAACCATATGGTATAAAAGCAATGCAGCCGTTAACCGCTTAATGCACACCCCCGTGACATATACGGGCAACGTTTACCGGCAGAATTGTGCAGCTCCGTTAACGTCACGGTCACTATAATTGTATATGTCTCAAAATATTACAGCTCCGTCTGGGTCACGGTTAATATAGAAATATAATTTTCCAAATATTTTAAGTCCGTATCTGTCACGTTGAATGGTAGATTATTGCCATTCTCGGATTTTTTTTTCATAAATTTGTTGAAATAAGCATAAATAATAATTATTTGCAAAAAAATAAATGTAGTATTTTTTTTACCTAAATTGATTAAAAAAATGTGCACCCCTTGCCTCACTACTTTTACTACTCTTGCCACACACACAAGAAGACTAGACAGTTTACTAGTCTTCTTTAGGGGGTATTTTATATATCTTAAATTAACATTTTTTTCTTTTCTTGCAGCCACAATGACTACCTACTTCCAGTACCCGGCGCCCGAGTTGCAGGAGGAGCTGAGGAAGATCGCCCAAGCGATCGTAGCCCCTGGCAAGGGCATCCTCGCCGCTGATGAGTCCACAGGTTAGATTCTTGTAAAACTATCATGTTTTCTAGACGCGAAAGATGTCCCAAACTTTTTTTGATTAAGTAAAGTGTTAAATAGTGTGTATGTAATACTAACAGTAAGTGGCTTATGTTCAGCAGTGGATAGTTAAAAGTCTTATAAATACCGACAAAACTATTCATATGTAGGATAAGTTACGATTTTGGTTTAGAAACTAAATTACTGAGCTGAACTTGATAAAATTTCTGTGGGACCAATCTCAAATTATATTCTTTCAGGTAGAATTTTCCGAATGGGTTTGTAAATAATGAAGCTCTGAAGTAACAAATATGAAAAAATACATCCAAATTGAGAACCTCTTCCTATTTTTAAGTCGGTTGAAAGTATAATTATATTATTTAAGACATATATCTAATGAACTTTGATCAGATGTTCATACCACGCCTTCTCAAACTACTTTTTCTTACTGCTTTCTTATACGAATTTTAGTACAATAAAGAAACTACATTTTCTGTCTCTTTTTAGGAACTATGGGCAAACGTCTCCAAGACATCGGCGTTGAGAACACTGAGGAAAATCGCCGCAGATACCGCCAACTGCTCTTCAGCTCTGATCCGGTAAGCAGTTTGTTGTAATGGTAACCGTTTTCCACTTAACTGTCTATTAACATCCCACTGCTGGGCATTAAATTAATAAATAAAAAATAATTATACCTACTTGTATAACAATTAGTCCATTACCTTAAGGTTGTCTTGAAAAGATTGCTCTCAGCAATAAGACCGCCTTACTGTACTTATACAATTGTATCGTTATGTTTGTAAATTGCCTTGCTTATTTTCTATATTGTATAATGCAAATAAAGTATACTCATTCATTCATTCATTCAATTATAATAGTTTTTATTCAAGTAAACTTAATTGTAAACAATTTTGATTTTGTCATTTTTTTACGAATCCGCCGCATAGTTTGAAATGAAATTTCAAGTGCGAGGAACGGGTAAGAAATTCAATGATTCTATGGGGGGTTAGTTTTGGAATAAATCCCAATAGAGCGATATAAGAATTGAATCGTTTTGCACTCTCGGATTGCTGTACTAACGATATAATAGTTCCATACTGTTCTGATAGATGCATACAAGTGCAACTTGCCAATGCAAACTATTTCAAATTAATCCCAATTTTAACTTAATTCATAAGTGTTGTTTCATGAGTGCAGTATGCAATTGTCATTGACTTGAGATTGGACATATATCAATATATATATATATACATATATTTTATACAACTTAGAATGGCAAACAAGCTGACGGTCCACCTGATGGAAAATGGTAAGCGTCGCCTATAGACATGAGCAGTACCGTGTACATAACAGAGTATACTGTTTCTCGCCCATGATACCCCCCATGCGTATGTATGTCTACATTTAACATAAGACGAGAAGCAAATAGCCTGTTAGAACTTAGTGAAAATATATACAAACTAATTCTTGACTCGATCATAAGACAGTCTGCTCATTTGCAATAATAATACAAATCTAAAATCGATTAATTAACATCGAAACATTTAAACGAATAATTATAATCGAATTTCGTTTTGTAACTGATTTTATTTAGAACAAGCGATTTCCCGGTTTCGCACGGGTGCACATTACATAATATCACATTAGAAACCTCTAAAATTATCAGTGTTTCTCTATTGTATTATGCCTGCATTATACATATAAATACATACATATAAACTTTCCTCTTGTATCAATAAAAGAAACCGCATCAGAATCTGTTGCGTAGTTTTAAAGATCTAAGCATACATGGGGACAAATAGACGCGAAGCGACTGTTTTTATCTATGTAATGATATGTTTTCGTAATAATTTCTTCAAAATTCTGTTACTTTTACATTTAGTTCTATTTGAAACAAACTATATGCGATACTATTTAGTATAATTAGAAAGATCATTGTAAAAATAATCTCTAAACAAGTTCATTATAACATGGAAGCAATTATTGTAAACAACTTGTTTACGAAAATATATTTATGAATTCACAATTCATAAAAACAACCGCTGAAATAGCTGCATAACACGACGCTCACTTCCAATGTGAATGCACTTTAACTTGCACTATGTGCCTTGTTGCATTACTGGTCTGGAAATCAAGTTCTTACGAGCAACTTGGCGAATACATTTTATTTGCATTGATTTATCTACTTATATAAAAAAATATACCTAAATAAAAAAGTATAAATGTTTAAACAGAGCATTTGTAAATCAAATCAGTATTTAAAATAGACTATTATAAAACACTGTCATTACGTGTCAAGTACCGTAGTGTCAATAACCTTTTTAGGAGCCCAGTTCTAAAACCACAAATACTGTACTCTTATAAAGCTATAATATTAATATTAGTTACGAAACTACAGTTATGTTTTTTACGAATAAATCTTATTTCATTTCATAGATTTTAACCTGTGAATACAGTTTTCTCCTAGAAGGAGACTGTGTACAAAAGTTTGGGTACTTCTGTCCTATCTGGGTTTCTGCCGTGAAGCATCTGTGCTCGCATAGCTATGTGTCGGTTTGAAGGGTCAGATATAGCAGTGAAATTACAGGATATCTACTAAGGCATAAGACCATAGTCCTCAAGAATTATTATATTACCCTCTATATTCATGACCATAATGTATGTATATGTACACCCATATACTATGTTATGGTGGCCATAATCACCATGGGTATAGATGATGTCTATATCACTATTCATGTGTATAGACAAGACACCAATTGGCAATTTCCGTCAGATGTTCCGTTACCTAGTTTGCCACTCAATGTAAAAAAAAAAGATTGTCTAACTTGAAAGATTTATTTTAGAAATTTCAATGCAATCAGTTTCATCGTTTAAGAACACCTGAATAATACCTGAGTACTCAGGAATAGCAACGCATGGGGGAATATCATGGGCGTAACAGTATATCTGTTATGTCCATGGTACGACTCATGTCTATAGGCGACGGTTACCACTTTACATCAGGTGGGCTGTCAGCTTGTTTGCCATTTTAAGTTGCATAAAAAAGCGACTCCAGACGTACAGCGGTTTAAAAATAGAACTGTGTTCTGTAATGCAAAACAAGCGTGATCGTGATCTTTAAATTGGACACAATTAGCTCTCAATAAAACACCTCGTGTTATTTGGTGCCAACTAGTCGTTTGATAACTTATTTTAGACATTTTATTATCCTATTTTTGACGTGTGGTTCTGGCATAGAATAAGCCTCCCCTTACTTTTTCGTAGGTCGCAAGAGGCGACTAAGGGTGGGCGAGGGATGGACAGCAGCGTCCCTCTTAAAACATTTCTAAAGCCTACCAAGCGTGAACAGTACTGGCAGAACATCCCAAGGAGAAGGCTTATGTTCAGCAGTGGACAGTTAAAGGCTGATATGATGGTGATGATTAAATAAAAAAATGCGGAAAATTTGTAATGATGTACGGACGGATGGATGTATGTATGTTACTCCTTCATGCCCTATTGAATTGAACTGCCTTTCCCATAAGGGGAATTTTGCCAGTAGTTGCTACGCTTGGCAGGCGAGTTGGCAACCACTATTAGGTTTTTAGAGATGTTTCGAGAAGGACGTTGCTACCCATCCCTCGTCCATCATTTTCCCTTAGTGACCTCTTACGACACCCACGAGAAAGGAAGAGGTGGCCCATTCTATGTCGGGACCACACGGACATATATATAATAGTGTTGCAAAACAATTTATCACTCAAATCAAATGTTTCCTATTGCAGATCCTATCTGAGAATATCTCTGGTGTGATCCTGTTCCACGAGACCCTGTACCAGAAGGCCGATGATGGCACGCCCCTCGTGTCGCTGCTGGAGAAGCGCGGTATCATCCCTGGAATCAAAGTGGACAAGGGCGTCGTTCCACTATTTGGATCTGAGGATGAGTGCACCACACAGGGTAAGTGGCGATTTAGGACTGTGGAACCATAGGTTTTTATGGATGATAATGGAATGATAACCCCGCCACCACTAACGGTATAAGTTAGCGGGGTACCAGTGAAGAATAGGTGAGAATGAAAAAGCAGGTCAGTTCGCCCATCGTGATGAATACATCTAGAATTCAGCACGATGGTTTCCAGGGGGGACCATGGGGATATTGACCTGATAGGATATATTGTTAGAAATGGGACTAGTAGTATGCATTACTAACAAACCCTTCCCCCCTTTATAAGAGGGGCATCTCCAAAGCCTAACAGCGGTTGCCAATCCATCTACCAAGCGTGGCAATTACTGGCAAAACTCCCCAAGGGGGTAGCTTATGTTCAGCCGTGGACAGTTTAAGGCTGATATGATATCATTTTTATAATCTACGCCAAGTATCAAATATTATTGTACTCTTGTTTGTTATTACTCTATGTACAAAATAAAATTGTCTGGAATCAAAATTAAGACGTCTTTAAGATTTTATCATGTAGATTTTTCGTGTATTGTATTTTAATATTAAGAAACTGTGAGCTGAAAAAATCTCCGAAAATAATCCGTACTTTTTCATATAAGTATATAGTTGCAAACATTCAGTGCTTATTGACCCTAAAGGAGTGTAAATATAAAGACCGTTTTAGAGTGACACGTTCTGTTCTGTGCATAGTATCCCAAGCACGGAAGTTTTCAATGTTATATAGTTTATACACTTCTGTAACATGTTGATGTCCATTATTGTAGTACTATAAAAAAGTATTACGTTACCATTTTTATCTGTGATAGTGTTCAGCGAGCATGCGGTCCGCGTGATATAAAAAATCTTATAAACGTAATAAATCATACGCGTGTGATTGTCGTGATGCAAAAAAAAACGTATATGCGTTGGAATTACGCGTGTAGATGGTGCTTATCATTGTAACCGCCACGTGTGCGGTCAGCTTAAATAGAAGATCAACAACTCATGCGCAGACCAATACTGATGCGCATAGACACAACTAAGGGTACACGCATACGCAGTCGTACAATCGTAAAAAAGTGGCGGTACGGATAACGATGAAAATATGCATAATAAAATATAAATATGCATGCATATGCTTATATCATCATAATCGTATGACCTCTGAACTTTCAAAAGTATTTTGGAAAAGCACTTGGTGAGTCTCATAATGTAACATCCACCTTGAATAGCGATCCCATACAGTCAAACGCAGTTTAAGGCAACTTCTCACTAAGTAAAGTGACGACCTCAAATACATTTTGGGAAGTTAGTGGATGCAGATGGTTCAGGACCGTTCCTTATAGCAGTTTTATGTGGGAAGTCTACGTCCAGCAGTGGACAGATAACGGCTGGTATGATGATGATATGATTATTTTATCATTATAGAATTGTTTTTGGCTGATCGCATTTATGGTCCATACACTGTACTGACTCTGTGAGAGATGATAGGTGAGGATGAAAGCAAGTCAATTGGCTTATACTGAAGAATTCGACAAGAATTAACCATAATGGTTTCTAAGTTGAACAGCAATGTTAACAGTGTCATTACTAATGTAGTAGTAGGGGAGAGGGGTTGTTAGTAATGGGATTTAGACCCCCATTACTAATAATCCCTTTCTCCCATGATAAGTGACGTAAAGAATATAATATAAACAGACATGTAATAGGAATAGGTGAATCGATTCTATGATATTTATGTACAATGTAGTCTATGGTTAATACTATTGTATGTTTATGTATGTTTAGTCTATAATTAATATTATTTTTAAATGGATTTTTTTATAAAAAGATTTTTATCGAATATATAATTTAAATACACACTTCGTATGTTTTACTATAACATGCGAAATTAGTTTTTCTAGTTGCAATAATAAGAAATAAATTTATTTATGTATGTATATATATTTAAGAAGTTTACTGATTTTACTATATTGGTATACTTGGAGTACATACGATATCAACTACATTGCATCACCCGTCTTATCTACTATAGTACTATATAGCAATAATTAACTGCTCGTTAATGGACTTTTAAACTGGTTTCTCGACTTATCTTTGCTGCGTTTATTTAGTTAACTGAACATTTCCGCACATGTATGTGGGTCACTAGGTTTGAGAATGTAGTTAGTTGAGCCAACCTAGATTGTTCTAGAAGCCAGGAAAATGTCTTCGTTAGCCATTGATCTCCAGAAAAAGATGCTACCTTCCTAAACAAATAAATCTATTGTTTTCTCATTGTGATTATTTCTTGTAATTATTTTTTATTTATAATAAGTTTACTATTGTAATCTTTTGGAGGAAAAAATAAAGAGTATCTATCTATCTAATGATAGAATTTTTATCACTACTTAGTTCATGAAATAGAATGAGATAGCAACGTACGCTGTCTTATTCTTTCTCATACAAACTTTAATCGAAACGCACTCGTATCTATTAATCAATTCGGTTGGCAACTGTCAAAGGGGGAGTTGGATTGTTTATTTAAATCAGGATTCTGAACCTGAATACGCATACTGGTTACTTGAGAACATATTCCTTTATTCCATCCACATAAATCAAAATCATCAGCCATCTGTATGCTAATCCTAAGGAAAAATTACTCGTAAACGGTAACAAATTTAAGATTCTGCTTAAAACTGAACGCGTCGTGTAAGTGTGTGTGCTCACTATTTTTTTGTACTTTTTAACAGACTTCAAAAACAAAGAAGTTATCAATTCGTTTGTATCTTTTCACCTTTGTTACCTCATAACTCCTTCAGTTGTAAACCATTTTGGATTTTTTTTTTATTTAAAAGGGTATATTTATAGATTGGTCCCATAGAAATTTTATTAAAAAAGCTAGTTTTGCCACAATTGAAGACTTTTTTTTATCGAAGACAATCTTAAATTATGCATATACCCATTTTTTTTTAATTTTGGAAAAGTTTTCAATTATTCTGGTAAAGTACTCCCATAAAACGATGCTAATGAATTCACTTGGCGATATCACTGCAATTTTCTTTCTACTATATATGACCACACCATCCTGGTTGCACTTGGGGAGGGAGACTTTGTACAATAGTCGATTGCTTGGGTACCTCTGTCCCATTTGTGTTTCAACCGTGAAGTGGTTGTGTTTGCATGGCTGTGTTTCAGTTTGAAGGGTGGGATATGGCGTGAATTTACTGGTTACAGAGGAATAACACCTGAGTCCTCAGGAATGGCAACGCATGGGGGGTATCATGGGCAAAACAGTATACTCTGTCATGTCCATGCTACTGCTCATGTCTATAGGCGACGGTTATCACTTTCCATCAGGTGGACCGTCAGCTTATTTGCCATTCTAAGTTATATAAAAAAAAATACATTTTCTATCAAGTAAGCCGTCAGTTTGTTTGCTGTTTCAGGTAGTAGATCGCAAATAACAAAGATATATAGGTACACTTGGAAATATCTTTCAAAGATAAACAGATCCTTGAAATTTTATATCGTATTGATTCGTATATCGTTTCGTTCACGTTAAATACTAATAAAACACAGTGGGTATCAGTAATTTTATTCGCATATCGCTATCGGCTTGTTATTGGCTGTTATCAACTTGTTTGGGGGCTTGTTCGTGTATCTACACACATATCCGTGTAAGGTCAGGAGGAATTTGACATTTGGATATACATATTATTTATCATAAGATATAATTATCAAGTTGAAATTTTAATTCTGATAATTAGAATAATACCTATTATTATGTAACATTCTCATAGTATATATATATATATATATACATATATATATATATATATATATATAATCCAAAAGTCTTCTTCAGAGGGTATACGGCATTTTGCGTCACAGCGTCTCTCGTCAGCGATAGACAATTAACATACAAAATAAACAATAGACATGAGCAGTACCATGGACAAAAGAGAGTGCATTGTTTCGCCCATGATACCCCCCATGTGTTGCCATTCCTGAGGTGTTATTTCTTTGTACCCTGTAAATTCACTGCCATATCCTACCCTTCAAATCGAAACACAGCCGTGCAAACATAACTGGTTCACGGTAGAAACACGAATGGGACAGAGGTACCCAAGCAAACGATTTTATACATATATACATGCATCTGTCTATTATACCCTTTTTTTTATTTATGTCAATAAAATACATGTATAATAATGGTAATTCTGTTTAAATTAGGTCTCGACGATCTCGCGCAGCGTTGCGCTCAATACAAGAAAGATGGCTGCCAGTTCGCCAAATGGCGCTGCGTCCTCAAGATCGGCAAGAACACTCCATCCTACCAGGCCATCTTGGAGAACGCCAACGTCTTGGCCCGCTACGCTTCCATCTGCCAGACCCAGCGCATCGTGCCAATCGTCGAACCCGAAGTCTTGCCAGATGGTTAGTGACATCTCTAACTCTATTCTGTAATCCTAGTAATTTTGTATTAATAAATAAATAAAATAAAAATAAGCTCACGACTGTAATACTTGATGGCGTAGTCAAAAACGTTTGTCGGCTAATATCGTGATGCACTTTTAATGTTTATCCTGCCGACATTTCGACGAAGGTATTAATTTTTTTTTTCGATAACGATACAGTTTACGCTAGTGGGCTACTATTCTAGGACAATAAATATTAGATATGCGACGCAAGGTGGCGAGTGAAACAAGTGGAGGTTCAATACGCACTGTCTCTATTGACACATTGCCTTGAACAAAAGGTACCAACCCACTAATTATATATAACAATAAATAAATTAATATAAAATTAGATTAGTTGGATGACGAGTTTACCAATTTTGTTTTTATTTTTATTACGATTTCTAGGGGAAACTGTTTTGACCTGATGTAGTGATGGGGTCATTTGATCTCATTTCTAACGAAACTAACACACAAGTGCTTTTGAATCAGCCAGATTTGAACGCACAATATTGGAATATATAAGAGTAGTACCACTAGGTAGACTATGAGGCTTTTCCCAAAATACCTCCTACAAATATATTTTTTTTTAATATTGCTGTATTTGTTCTCTTTTTAATTAAGGATGTAGTTCAAAATAAAAAGACATAAATGTTCAATATTATTATTATAATAAGGTCGTAACTGGACGATATCTGTACATGGGAGATATTTAACAAAAATTAATATGAAGGGCCTTAGTTAAGACCAGTAGAAGTTAAAACAATAATTTGCAGAAATTTTGTCTGTCTGTATGATTGTTCTGGCATCGTGCAAAAACTACTGCACCAAATTAAATGCGGTTTTGACAATTGTATTTCTGAAAGTCTAAATTAAACTCTGTCTGGTATATGTTTTATCTTGATACAACTTGTGGTTTATTTCATTTGTTTTCTTATTTCTAAACTTCTCGTGTACAAAGTAGCGGGCAAAAAGCTAGCAAGGAATAAAATAATAAATGTAATTTCCTTTTTTAGGTGAACATGACCTTGACCGCGCCCAAAAGGTTACCGAGGTCGTTCTGGCAGCCGTTTACAAGGCGCTCAGCGACCACCACGTCTTCCTTGAGGGTACTCTGCTCAAACCCAACATGGTAAGACCTCTCTTCTCGTTTACTGAATTTATAAGTAATATTTCAAATTAAAATATTCCGGTAATATTATTATAATAGATTGATTTTAAGAAATCTGATATAAAAACTAGAAAGAAAAAAGAGAAAGAGAGATATTTTCCTTTTTTTTTTTGTAATTTACACTCTATCTATAAAATACTTATTTTAACGCATGCTTATTTTGAACTTATCGAATCAATCTTAAGGTTTTATCTATAATGGTGTAGGGTTTAATTGTCATCCCCTATGTTATAGAATGCCCATGGTACCATTAATGTGTTGCCATTTTTTATTATTAACGTGCTAACGTATTATGGCTTTTGTGGTCGAAGAACTTATATGAATGTTCTTTTTCTCTCTCTCTCTCTTAACATCTACATTACCTTTTAACTTTCAAAAAGAAATGTATTTTAATATTTCTGGATGATTTTAATGGTTTCAAACATTAGCTTTTTTTATATCACCGTGGTGGCAAACAAGCTTACGATGCACCTGTTGGTAGCTGTTACTGCAGTCTATGAAGGCCTATAATACCAGGAGCATTACGCGCACGTTGCCGACTCTCTATATCCTGAAGTATTTTGAAAAATGTTACTGTAAATACAATATTTTTTTATCTCAAAAATTTGACAACTGTATTTTTACTCGATTACTAACATACAAACAGTAGTACGAAAGAGATAAAAACTTGTAATAATTAGAAAATATGTCTCATTTCACATTCTAGGTGACTGCCGGCCAGTCATGCAAGAAGACATACACTCCGGTAGATGTCGCTCGCGCCACCGTCACCGCTCTGCTCAGGACAGTCCCCGCTGCCGTTCCTGGTGAGTTGTCAGCACATTTCTTACCACCACCATAATATTTACATATTTATCTGCTTTCGAACATGAATTTTCTTCATAGATTGCTTCAAATAGTATTGGCAGATATACTCGTAACTCTGTGTCCTTCCACTGACAATCCGAAATCTGAGGTCGGTAGCAGTTAATCAATACTTATTTTTATTTAATCACAATCTTTACTAGCAAAATTTTATCCTGTTCAGTATTTTGTAATTAATATTGAAATAAACACCTAATTCCATATTATTATATTTTTTATTTTTGGCTAACTGTTTAATTTCTTTTCCTTTCCTTTGGCTAAAACTACTTTTGGCAGGATTTTTTTTTATGCAACTTAGAATGGCAAACAAGCTGACGGCCCACCTGGTAAAAAGTGGTAACCGTCGCCTATAGACATGAGCAGTACCATGGACATAACAGAGTATACTGTTTCGCCCATGATACCCCCCATGCATTGCCATTCATGAGGACTCAGATGTTATTCCTCTGTACCCTGTAAATTTACGCCATATCCCACCCTTCAAACTGAAACACAGCCATGCAAACAACTGCTTCACGGTTGAAACACGAATGGGACTTTAAAACAAGAAATCAAATAAATTTGCATAAAATAAATATCTAAAATACGATTTAAATTATTATAAATTATATAATATAATAATTTTATTTTTATCTCTGGTATAAAAACAACATAGGCTATATCATGGAAACAGATTACTCTTTGATTTAATTGCATTTGACATTTTTTGTATCACACACATATGTCGGTATATAATTTCAGGTGTCACATTCCTCTCCGGCGGCCAGTCCGAGGAAGAAGCGTCGGTGCACCTGAACGCCATCAACGCAATCGATCTGAAGAGGCCGTGGGCCCTCACCTTCAGTTACGGCCGCGCTCTCCAAGCGTCCGTGCTTCGCGCTTGGGCTGGCAAACCTGAGAATGTTCTCGCTGGCCAGCAGGAACTGCTCAAGCGTGCCAAGGTGAGGTTATATACTAGAAATAGATAGATAGCTTCTTTTTTGTGTTTCATCTCTATCGAAGTTTTGAAAAAATAAGGACGATATTTATTTTTAAGATTGTCACTCTAAATGAGCCAGATTATGTTGCAGCTAAGCCACTTCTGCAAATTCCTCAGCCAGGGAGTGTTGCCTCCCCCTGGCATTTCTTTTACCAGCAATCTGGCATAAGATTACTAAGATATTCTGTACTTTTAATTCCTCAGAATGTTACCGAAGTAAGATATTTTTCTATGCTTAACAATGTTCATTGGTAGTTGAAGTGTTTTTCTGGCAATTAATTTATGTATCTCCAGAGAGTTCAAAACCCACCTTGGGCATTGCAATAGCTAGAGTTTTTTCTAGTCTACCATATGATTGCAGATGATTTTTTATTCTAGCTTTTATCTGGTATTCTCTGATTGGTATTAAAAGTAGTATATGTCCTTCTCCATGTCATATATGAATAGTATGTGTGTACCAAATTTCATAGTAATTGGTTAAGGCGTTAAGTGGTAACAAACAAACTCACATTCACATTGGTATTGATAACGGAATTCCAACTGTGTCATTTGTTTACGCTGGTATGACAGCAGTTAGGGATGGTAGGGAATAAAATCATGCCTGTAAGTCGTTGCACCCAATCGCAATGGTTTCTAGAAAAGTCCACGTGAAGATAAATCTCAGTTGATTACAAATACCGCGAGCAGTATTTTCTTTCTTCTTATTCCTTCATTCTCGCTGTAGGTGCATTTGATTTCTGTATATCCCGTGATAATAAACATCACCTAATTTTTATAAAAGTGAGTTTTAGGGGCGAGGGCTGAGTTAGTAGAGGATATACTCTACTAACTCAGCTGAGTTTTTTAGAATAGACAGTGATAGTAATTGAGAAGTTTGGGCATTAGACTTTGTTGATCATGTCTGTATAGGTGATGACATCGTTTAGATGTCCTGTAAAATGAAGATCTATTCTCCAATATATTGTGTGTTTGTCATTTCAACTAGTTAAAAGAATTAGTGATTTCATTTACCGAATCCCTCATATATATATATATATATATATATATATATATATATATATATATATATATATATATATATATATATATATATATATATATATATATATATATCATTTTTAATTAAGCATTAATCAGTAGATTTTCATGAGTTTGATATAGAAATAAAAGGCTTAAACTTTTTTTTCGTGTTTTACATAATTATTAACATTAACTAATTTATATAAAAAAAAATATACAGCTAAGTGGAAGCAGTTCAAACCTTTTATTTTCGAGTGTTATTTAGGAAAATATTTTTTTACCAGTTTTTGATATTAGTTTACTTTTTTATCATAATAAAAAGTAAAAAATGCTTCATCGTGTAGTAACGTCCATTTATGCGCATAAATTCTTATAAAAATGTTAGCATATATGGCTGTATCTACGACATTCTTTAACCTTATAGTACATCACTAATGTTATTTTTTTTCTCCCTTCACCAACCTCACGCCACCGCCTGTTACTCAATGGCGCCAACGATGTGGATATCATCTGACCGCACATCACTACACTAATTCTAATTTTAAATACTAATTTTAACTTTCGAATGTTTTCTGACGACTTGTTTTTTTAATTGTGCATCCAGGCAAATGGTCTAGCATCTATTGCCAAATACCAGGCCGGATCTATTCCCTCTTTAGCAGCTAGCAAGTCTAACTTTGTGAAAGCGCATGCTTATTAATAAACTTAATAATTCGATCTTAAACTCTGATCAGTAACACGCAAGTTAATAATAAAACAATGCTAACTTCTTTGTAACAGACATTTCTTTGATCAAATCTTTGTGAGGATTTACTTGCGTTAACTCACATTAACTCGTTAAATTACACTCAACAAAAATGCAGCTTCTTATTTAAAAAAAAAGAAAGTTGTACATAAATTTCATCATAGATTTTAGATTCATTTATATTTATTTTACGTTCACGTTGTTTTTCAAAAGTTATAAAATTTAACACTTTGTTACTTAATAAGGATGCTCTATTTTTTTTTTTTATATCGATCTATAAAATAGTTCTAGTCACGTATTTTTTCTACTAATTTTATTTTTGCTTTTTAAATATAATTTTTTTTTTTTTTTACATTTATTAGAATATTAGATTTGTTTTTAACTCAAGTAAAAGTCACTAGTAAACAATAATATTCGACTAGAACATTTTATATTATCTTTAATATGTTGTAATGCTACTTATATGCTAGTTAATCATCGCTTCTAGTTCTAGTTGTCATAGCATTAGAATTCATTATTCATTACTACTAGTTATGTATTAACTGCATGCTCAAGTTGTCTGTGTGAAATTATAATAAATATTTTTATTTTAATGTTTTGTGTTTTCTTTTTGTTTCTATGTTGATTCTTTCAATCATTATCATCATCACCGTCATTGTTATTATCATTTTCCTCGGAAATCTTATTTAAATCTATCTCGTCTGTTTATTTCAGCGTGTGTTATAATTTACTTTCTATACTATTTTAAATATATTAAGTTATAGAATATTTAATATTGACTTTTCTCTAAATATACATTGTGATATTAAAATTATCAGCATTCTTTTAATGGAGTGTTCTTTTTTGTACAACTAATTTTTAATATTCTTGATAAAGAGATATAGTTTGAAAAATGAGAAAAGACTAACTCTTATTCATAACGACTAAAACTTTCTAGAAACTTATTTTTGTCTATTAACTATTACACTGTTTTGTCACTTTCATTCAAACTGAGAATTTAGCACAAAAGAAAGAGACAAAACAGTTCAATAGCTAAAATAGGTTTATGAGAGATTTGACGTTTTATGAATAAGGGAGATGATTCTATAAAATTTTGTTTTCTTTGCTCATATAGGTTTACGCACCGTGTTAATATGAAAGGCGCATTTTTTGCAGTATTGTGACTTGTGTTTCTTAGAGGAAATATTTCAATTACTTTAGCGAACATTCCGTTATTAAAAGAATTCTAACGGTTTCTAATTCAGTCTGTATATAAATGATATGTTAGTAAAACATTAATCTTAGGAATACATCGTGTATTCAGAGGTACGTACGTAGATAAACAGTTTTCATCATATCGGCGGTATTGTTCGTCAATAGGCGATCCCTTAGCTATAAAAAATGTATGTGCTTAAAATATGTATGTGCTTTTTAAATAAATCCGTTTTGAAATTTTAGAATTAATAATAAAGTTGATGCCTTTAAACAAATAGGGATAAGCGCTCTTACCTCGCGTGCTGTATATACAAAGGAAAATTTACATGGGAACCAAGAAAAAAACATTTTTAATGTATAAAAATTTTACTCTTAAGTTGTTTTGTACATTAACACCGAACATTTCTACCGGTTAGCACTTAACTGCAGTCCGAAACATCCAAAGATCAAGTCGCAATCCCAATTAATATTCTGATTGTTTAAAAATCATATTTAAATCATTTAAAAATGACTCGCTTACTTGGTTCATGTTTCGGAGGACACATCCGGTAAGCCGCGTCAGAGGCTTCCAAATATAAGTAAAGCTGTCTAGAAACTCTTAATAATAGAGGACGCCACTATCGCTCAAATAGTAGTAGTATATTAATAAAGTAATTAATAATTTTCCTATAAGTAATTAAGTAATATTAATTATAGGAAATTTATTACAACCAACTCATACGCTAATGATGTGTCCATAATAATGTCACGTTTGACAATGATTCTATACATTTGAACAAATGAAGCGCCTCTGTCGGTTACAATCGGAACTAATATCGATATTTGTGTGCTATAGTTTTCAACAAACACTTACCTCGATTTTGCTTTTACTTCACAAATAAGCTTCAGTTGTTACAAAATTTGTATGAAACGAAATACCCTATTGGTTGCATATATAAATCAAAATTGGATTAAAAAGATATTGTGTAATATACAGATGAAAATAATACATGTAAACTGAGATTTTCCTCCTTTTTGAAGTGTCCTAAATACTCGTGTTTTAGTCTAGTGATGGTCTAATGCGTTATCGACTCTGCTATTAAATCCCTTTAATAAATATTCTTCCAATTAGATATTTTTTTTTACATGATGAAGATGATGTCAGCCGTTAACTGTCCACTGCTGAACATAGGCCTCCCCCATAAGGGAGTTTTACCATACTTGGCAGACGGATTAATAACCGCAGTTAATCTTTGGTGATGTTTTAAGGGAGACACTGTTGCCTATACCTTGACCATTAAATTTCCTTAGTCGCCTTTTACGACACCCACGGGAAGGAAAAGAGTGGCTCATATATATAATTAAATATTTAATACAAATTTCAATTAAACATTACACAAACAAGCATACATAAACATACAATTAATCAAACAAGAGACTGGATCTCTAGCACAGAGTGTCTCTAGTGACTTCATTGAAGATTTTGTACCTATATATATATGTATTTTATGGTAAATTCCATCGTACTTACCCAGTGTACTTACTGACGTGTTTATCTCTGCTTTCCGCTGTGGGTGGGGTGTGAGGGGTATTGAATAAACTTTATTTATCTAAATAAATAAACGCTTAAAAATAATTACAACAATTTACATACTAGCTTATTACTAGTCGTAGACTATTCAGTCGTTATTATTTTTTACATTCATAAAAAATGTTATAAAATTTTTGAAGGTACAATCTTGAAATTAAAAACAAATTACAATTAGTATGCTAATAATCGTGATTGTGGGTATTTCGTGGAACTTTGTACACATATTGATGTTAGTAACTTATTAAAAAAAAAACACTCGAACTCTTCCACAAAAAAAAAAGATTTGGTGGAAATTTACAAATATTTTTCTAATATTAATTACCTTATATTTTAAATATTACTAATCACATATCATTCAATAATATCATTTAAAGTCATAAACAAAATAACTACTTGGAAAATTAATGGAATTCATACCACATACAACTTTTTGTACTGTCTTTGAAATAACAATTTTGTTTTACAATTAACGTCGTAAATTTTAAAATACTATTACACGAGTCGAGACTCGTGTTTTAAAAGTAAAAAATATGCTAAATAAATTAGAAAGATAAATAAGAATTAATTATACTTATTTAAATAACAAAAATTTGATTTTAATTTTATCGATAACAATAAATACTCTTAAACACTACACTACACAAAAAATAAGCATCTTTAACAAATTGTTTTTTTATGGCTTCACTATGAGTAGGTTTCATTAATTACCTTTATACTCATTTTCCTTAAGAATAATAAAGGAATCTATTTTTGTTTTTCCAAGAAAACAGCTTTGGCATTTTCATAATCGTTCCTTGGCCTTCGTCGCTCTTTGTTTCCCTCGCTGTACATCCTAGCTTGTGGAACGTTCTCGATCCCCGTTGATGTTCCGAACGCTTCTTTCCACCACCGTGGCTTCCTTTCTACTGATGAAATAATTTATTTATTAATCGTTTAAGTACAAAGATAAGGCAGTCTTGATCTTTGAACTACATTATCTGTATAGCAAACAATGGTCAAACGAGAAGTGTGGATTAAAGCTTATCAGTTTGTTATTATTACATTTAAATAATAGCAATTAAATTGCTTTATATTTATATATATATTGCTAAATCCTATGTCTGTGTCCGCATGAATAAGTATATTTATTTACTAAACAGCTTTTCAGATATTTTACCAATTCGCGTGAGAAGACGTTATACATATTTTTTTTTATTAATTAACGCCATAATCCATTGCCGTCCTGTGAAACTCTTCATCAGTACAATAGAATAAGAATATATAAAATACCCTATGTATTATATTTATGATATCATCTGTCTGAAGACTAAATTTCATTAAAATCTGATCAGCCATTTGGACAATATTTTTTTTTAAACTTAATGTAGTATCTTATTTGCATGTATAAATAAAATTAAAAGCATTCTCAACTATATTTGCTCAAATTATATTCAATATTTATATATTTTTTGTAGCAATGTTTACCTATACCTATTTGTTGCCGACCTATTGTTTATTGTCAAAATATACTCGTACTGTGTTGCCACACGTTTTCATACCTAAAAAATTGTAAAAGGCAATTAGTAGAACCAAGATAGAGAATAAAACATTATAGCAAGAGAAGAAAGAATGAAATTTTCAAGAAAATTAAAACTATATTAAATTGTATATACATAGCCAAGGCGAGAAAACTAGGATACACCCTGTGTTGTGAAAAACCAAGTAACAATGTCTGTGGGCACAACCCAAAATACCCAGAACCGAAGCAATTCAGAAAGTTTACTTGCTAAATTCCAACTGGAAATCGAACCCAGGAACTCATTAAGGCAAAGCAACGTACCAACCACTACGCCACCGGGGTCATCAAAATGTTGGAAAACTTTTCTAAGGAGCAATCTGTATCTAATAGTGGAAAGTTCATATTATATCCGTCGTTAACTGTCCTTTGTTGAACATTGGTCTTCCCCATAAAGGAGTTTTGCCACGCTTGGCAGATAGGTTGGCAGACGGAGTTAAGCTTAAGTACTGTTTTAAGAAGGTTGCTAGGTTACCTATTTTTCGACCATTAAGTACCCTTAGTCGCATGTTACGATGTCCACGGAAAAGGAAGCGGTGGCGCATTCTATGCTTGGTTTATTATTATGAATTAATTATTAATTTTTTTTTTCGTCTTTACAGGCTAACGGACAAGCGTCACAAGGAAAATACGTGGCCGGATCAGTGACAGGTGTGGGCGCCGACGCCGGACTTTTTGTAGCAAATCACGCGTACTAAACCCAGTAGTGTCGTTAATATCATATCGCACAGTTACAGTACTAGTAACGTAATACTGGACATGCGTTTAATAGTACAACCCAGTAAGTTAGTAAACTAATCAGTCTGACAATGCGTCCCGAATTGTCGTATAATAGTTCGGGACACGCCAAAGGTGTTGAACCACTGGTTGTTTCTTACATTGTGCAGTGCTTTTTAGATACAAAACACGAAACCATCGACACAATAAATTTATACATGAAAAGATTATTTTTCTGTCTTCTAAAATGAATTCTATAAAAAAAATAAGTTGAAAAAATCTTATAAAAGTTCTGGTCGACAGAAGTTACTGCTTTATTTATCAAAAAGGACAGAAAAAATAATTAAATTCTAATTTTAAATTATGGCGCCATTGGAATCTGTATGTATGTTATTTGCTAGATATTTTTTCTACAGTAGCGTGTAGTATTTAAAAGTAAGGTAAAATCGTTATTACAATATGTTGTTACATATAATTTTCGCATTAATAACTGTAATTGTTGAGATTTATATACAAAGCTATGGATATTATATCGAGATTTCCTAGATGCATCATGTATTGGTAGAAACAAAAAATCAATAAATGTTGCCATATTGCATTTGCAAAAACTACTACGTAAATAAATTAAATATTTTAAATTAATTTTGAAGATATTGAATATAGTAAAATGTCACAAATCTAACAATAAGTACCAACATAGTAGTTTTGTGCAAATTAAAAATATAACTTGTCGTTGAAATATTATCAATTATTTGGGAGGTATAAATCATTTATCTATGTACAGTAAATAATATTGTATTATATTAATGTATTGATTAGTAATTAGTACAATCATTCATTGTAACTTTTATTTTCAATTTTTATTATCATTTTAGTTATAAAGTATTTTGATATTTGTAAGGTTATATAATATATTATATAATAGATATGTATTTTTTTTTTTTAACTTATTTTTTCTCCACATTTCCGCAAAGCTATCTAAGGAAAGGGCAGCGTTGAAGTAGGCAACACTAATTCACACAATAAAATCACAGCGACTTTAACCATACTATTTTATATTTTATTTATTATGATCGCATCTCAAGTACCAAGTCTCAAGTAAAAATAAAAATAACTTCTTATAAAACCTTATAAAAATAACTTCTAATATTTTTTTAAACTAAATTTATAATTCAAAAGGTGATAAAAAAGAACGATTTTTAGTAGAAAGTTTTAGTTTTTATGAATATGAAAAAGTTCGTTAACCTATTTCTAAAACTAATTTTTATACAATTTGAAATCGCAAAAAAGCTGACGGTCCACCTAATGGAAAAGGGAGCCTTACCATTAGAAATGAACAGCTTCGTAGACCCCGCTAAATATACAAAAACACGTACCTTAATGCCTTGGCGTTGTAAAGAGGAATCTGACAATTAAAATGTTATGCCATGTTATGGAAAGGGATTGTTAGTAACGGAGACTGGGAATCCTATTGCTAGCAATATACCCAGCCAGGTCGACCTCCTCGCGGTTCTCCCTGGAAACTCATGGTTAATTCCTTGTGAATTCGTCATAATGGGCTAACTGGCCTGTTTTCATTCTTATCCATCACCCTTTACTGGTGCTCCGCCAGCGTATCCCGTTAGCCCAGGCGGGGTTACCATTCCCTTTTCAACCACCAAAAAAAAAACAATAATTGCCATATTCCACTCTTTTGCAACAAAAAGTTAATAAGAAGTAAGTTACAGACCATCAGAAACAAAATTTAAAAGTTCCTATGCATAATAATGCAAATAATCATAAAAACTGTTTTCTAAAAAATGCTCATATAGCCATGGTAAACCAAATGAAACCGAGTGATGGCTGTAGACGCGCTCTCTGTTACGCTGTATTCTAATATGATCGGCGATTTATAAGCACAGACATTCACCACAATGACAATAATAATTGACTCTGACTACCCCATTAGATGTTGTAGTCGTGAGCATTATTTATTATGAGACGCGCTTGTGAATAAGGGCTCCTATTGATTTCAAAACTAGTCGGGCAACCCTGTATTTTAAACGTGATTAAAGCTGTTAAAAATAATTACAATAAATTATGACACAAAATACTCATTATTTATTCTATTTTACAAACTGATTTAAAAAGAAATATTATTCAATTTGACGGTCATTAACGTCGAGAAAATTATTGCCTTTTATTTATTTCTTTACTCTTTATTGTACACAAAATTTTAATTAAAAGTCGTAATTACAGTTCACAGCAGAGGTTACCGCAATCCTTTTTTCTAACTGTAATATCGCTAAACCTGTTCATAGGTCAAAGATCTTTTAAAACCAACTGAATACTGGGAGACTTTGTACAAAAGTCGATTGCTTGGATATGGCGTGAATTTACAGGGTATTTGTATATATACAAAGATCGTTATCCGCTATGGTGTTTTTAATTCAAAATCTCATTATAAATGTATGCTTCTGATTTCACACCCACTTCTTACCCACTGAAACGACTAAATTCCTTGCTTTAAGTACAAGTAATAAATAAAATAAATCTGAGGGCCTACCATGAAATGTTTTCCGAAATTTCAGAGCCACATGAAAAACAAATTTGATGTTAAAATTACATAATACATGCCGTTTGGAAATATTAAAAATGTTAAAATATTGTTCCTTTGGACTTTTATGATAGGATGTATGACGAACGAAATGTTAAACTCCATTTATTGATCCGATTTTGGTATAAACAAAAACACGAAATAGAGTCCGAAATTACGGAATTTCATTTCATGGTAGACCCGCTGCTTACATCTTGCCCCTTATGAGTAAGTCAAAGAGCTATTTAATACAAGGCCACATATATTATTTATTTCGAAGATTTTCTTCTGTTCGGAGTCCTCTTTTCTTCTATCTTGAATTGGATATTGCTTTTTTTACAAAGGCGGTCTACTCCAACACCAGAAGGTGAAACCCTCGTCTTAGTTCTTTAAAGTATGATATTGAAATGGTAACTTCACCTGCCACATAAGTTTACGCTGGTGGTGCATCAATGAAGGATGTTACGTAAGGATGGAAGCAGTTACCAGAGGGAGACTTTGTACAAAAGTCGATTGCTCGGGTACCTCTGTCCCATTCGTGTTTTAACCGTGAAGCAGTTGTGTTTGCATGCCTGTTTTGGTTTGAAGGGTGGGATATGGCGTGAATTTACTGGGTACAGAGGAATAACACCTAGGTCCTCAGGAATGGCAATGCATTGGGGGGTATCATGGGCGAAACAGTACACTTTGTTATGTCCATGGTACTGCTCATGTTTATAGGCGACGGTTACCACTTTCCATCAGGTGGACCGTCAGCTTGTTTGCCATTCTAAGTTGTATAAAAAAAGAGGTCAGTTAGCCCATCGAGACGAATTCAACAATAATAAACCACGATGGTTTTCAAGGTGAACCGCGTGGAGGTCGACCTTATTTGCTAGCAGTGAGGTTGTTATTCCCCATTAACAGCAATCCGTTTTCCTGGTTTCAGTTATCTAAATAGTATTAGATAGTGATGTAAAAATCGCAAGGGATACAGATTTAATCAACAAAATTTTGACACAATATAAATTTGGGGCAATAAGGGAGTCACCATCCGAACCTTTGAACTTTGAATCTAGGCTAACGCTGCTCTGTTATCACCAACTAAAGATTAAGCTATCAAATAACATAAAGCCCGGATAATACTTTAAATTTGTATAAATGGAGTCATTGTAATGTTTTCAACGCCAAACAGACGGCGATGAACCTGCGAATTACGAATTCAAGGCCTATTCATATCACGACTGAGAGGGAATGTTCGGACATAGCGAGTGCGAGCAACAAAAACCAGAGGGAGACTTTGTACAAAAGTCGATTGCTTGGGTACCTCTGTCCCGTTCATGTTTCTACCGTGAAGCAGTTGTGTTTGCATGGCTGTGTTTCGGTTTGAAGGGTGGGATACGGCGTGAATTTACTGATTTACTGGGTACAGAAGAATAACACCTGAGTTCTCAGGAATGGCAACGCATGGGGGGTATCATGGGCGAAACAGTATACTCTGTTATGTCCATGATACTGCTCATGTTTATAGGCGACAGTTACCACTTTCCATCAGGTGGGCCGTCAGCTTGTTTGCCATTCTAAGATGTATAAAATAAAAAACAAATAATTATATGCATATAAAATAGCCTACATACCAACAAAGTATGTTCAAAATTTCATAGCTGAATGATATAACGAATTAGTTGTTTTAATCCTAAGTTTGCTCTCAATATTGTATAATTTTAGTTGTTCAAGCTTTGTTCGAAAAGTAGTTTTCCAAGATTAATGGCGTTTTGATTTGTTCTTCAAATATGTTTTGTGATACCGTCGTGATTCTTTGACCGCCGACTAAATAGGCTTATATGAAATATTATCCAAACATACATACATATCTGTCACGCCTGTCTCCCATTAGGGTAGGCAGAAACAATGGAACGCCAAATACTTCGATTCAAACAAACCTCTTATAATAAAATAAATATTATCCGTCCGTCGTAATATAGATATGCCTTTAGAATTCGTCCTCTTTTATGTGACACCTTTTAAGGGTCTAAGCCAGGTGTCAATAACCGCATTTGCATTATTTCCGCTTCGTCTACTAAAATGCTGCTTGGTTATTTATTCTATAGCGAAATAAGATTTCATTCATATTTTGACGAGATAAAGGATAACTTTACTAATATAATAAAATTGTAAATAGACGATGTCTGTACACGGGTGATAAATAAAAAAGTAGGAGATCTTAATAAAACCAGTAGAAGCCCAAACAATTTTTTTTTAATTTTGTCTATCTGTCTGTAGGTTGTTCCGGTATCACGTAAAAACTATTGCACCAAATTGGATGGTTAACTTAAAATCTTTATACATCTTTATACGTCATTTAATAGTAGGTCTTGGGGGAAAGGGATTGTTAGTAATGGGGTCTAATGAACTCATTGCTAGCAATACACCCTATCAGGCCGACCTCCACGCGGTTCCCCCTGGAAACCATCGTGACTAATTTATCGTTAAATTCGTCACGAGGAGCTAACTGACCTACCTTTTCACCTTCACCAATCATCCCTCACTGGTGCTCCGCCAGTGTATACCGATAGCGCAGGCGGGGTCACTATTCCATTATCACCTATTAAAAAAAATAGTAGGTCTATTGTATTTGTTTTCTTACTTCTGAAATCAATGCTTATGAAACAAACCAAAAGTTAGTTAGAATCTACAAAGGATTTTTTTTTTTACTTTTTTTTCTCTAACGTAATTTTTTAAGTTTATTGTTGTATTTTAAATATTTAGACCGGATAACTGGTACACAAAGTGCCAGCCAGTTTGAAAAATTTATAGAAGTAGGATAGAAAAATATTAAGGAGTACCGTAGATGCCACACTTTATTCTGTGACGTCCTTAATACTATTCAGATTTATAGGTGACAGTTACCACTTACTATCAGGTGAATCATCTCATCAGTTTGTTTGCCATTTACAGTTGGATAAAAAAAATATATATTTATTAATTTACTAACCATATCCCGCGGTTTCGCCCGCGTGAAACAGTATATAAAGTATTCTGTGTGCTAAGCGAGGATATAACTTACTCGTATACTAATTTCATTAAAATCTGTTCAGTACTTTTTGCGTGAAAGAGTAACAAACATAATTCACCGTTACAAGCATTGACTTTTATAATTTTAATAATAGAACTTTTTATACTACTTAGAATGGCAAACAAGCTGCCGGCCCACCTGAAGGAAAGTGGTAACCGTCGCCTATAGACATGAGCAGTACCATGAACATTACAGAGTATACTGTTTCGCCTGCAGGCGCGGTTACCATTCTATTATCACCTATTAAAAAAACTACACAGCGTAGAATGTATGTAATATATTTCAATTTATTTATA